CCCCCCAGCATATCCTGGTTTTCAAGTACCCCGGAGCAGGGATAGGGTTAACATTAAAAATGCAGCAAAAATAATTTAATTTTCTTTTGATTCTATCGAGAACAATTTTTAGATTAATGTATGAAAGTTAAGATGCATAACATTATAGAAATACGTGTTATAAAATTATTGAAAATATCACGTGACCGGTGACAAAAAATGTTAGTTGAGTTTGTTTAACTTTCGTATTTACTTTGGCAACTTCTCGATACTTGATTGTTGACCTACTGTGTTGCACCTTTACATTTCTCTTTAAGTTTAAAATATTCAAAATAAATTATTTTTCATAATCTGTTTCACAAACAAAAATTATAATTTTTTACAAAGATCCCGCGAAATGTAGTATACTTTGACAAAAATGGGAAAAAAACAGATATTTTAAGGGTTTTTTCGTAAAAATACTTTTTGAAAACATTGCTCTTAATTAGTTTTTACATTGAACCCCTATTTAATTCATGAACATTAATTTTAATTGATGTCGTTGTTGGAAATACAACNCCGGCCTTCCCGTTTCCCCGTGGAATTTAATGTATTTAAATTTGTGGCTTGAAAAACAAATGCAAATTACAGAAGGTATGCAGTAAACCAGAAAGCATTTTGCAATTATTTATGCAGTCCGGCTGCAAATGCTGAATATAAATGTGGCCGGGCTGTCCTGAAACTGGTTTTGTGAATACTGATTATTAACTGAAAATCCGCCAGTTCTCCCCCTGCCGCAGTATATTTGGATCCTGCTCTGAATATAGAAAACTGGATTCTACAAAATTGAAAACTTTTCTCTCTAAGATTTCACGAAGTAAAGAATACAGATACTAATCCTTTCTCTCATTAGGCAGATTTAGACCCTTATTCGTAAGGACTCAGTGGAACCTTATATAAAGGGAGTGTATGCGATTTTTAAAAGTTTTTTTTTCGCAGAAACGTCGAGTGAATTAAAGATATCAGTCTTCAACAAATAAAATATGTCACTTCTTTAGATACATGTTTATTGGGACACCCTATAGAAAAACCTTTAGATACATGTTGATTTGGACTCCCTGTAGGAAAACATTTATATACATGTTTATTGGGACACCCTGTAGGAAAACCTTTAGATACATGTTTATTGGGAGACCCTGTAGGAAAACTCCTTTGGATACATGTTTATTGAGACACCCTGTAGGAACACTCCCTTTAAATACATGTTTATTGGGACACCCTGTAGGAACACTCCCTTTAAATAATGTTTATTGGGACACCCTGTATGAACACTCCCTTTAAATACATGTTTATTAGGACACCCTGTATGAACAGTCCCTTTAAATACATGTTTATTGGGACACCCTGTATGAACACTCCCTTTAAATACATGTTTATTGGGACACCCTGTATGAACACTCCCTTTAAATACATGTTTATTGAGACACCCTGTAGGAACACTCCCTTTAGATACATGTTTATTGAGACACCCTGTAGGAAAACCTTTAGATACATGTTTATTGGGACACCCTGTAGGAACACTCCCTTCAGATACATGTTTATTGGGACACCCTGTAGTAAAAGTTGGCACTTTTACGATCTCAATGTTGATAACCCCAGCAATATAATTGTAAAGAAACTGATGTCTTGCCTCAAACTCTAATTTTCTCATGTCAATATCTTAGCAACCAAATGTTTTGAACCTTTAATTTTTTTTTAATTTTGACTGATTGATTTAACAGAATTTAAAGATTGAAATATCAATATATCACATTAGGTTGAAAAGATTTAGAAAGTTTAAAAAAATTATAGTTGGAAGCAAGAGATGAGTTCCTTTCAACCTCCACGGTAAACTAGAGTACCTGCAGGTTAAAATTCAATGAGTCATAACTTTAAAACCCACTTTTCGTATTTAATGCCTTTAATATACTTCTTGCCCTAGTTCTTTTACGGATTTAAATGAGAGATTAAAATATGACTGAAAAAAAAGACAGAATGCACTTTAAATTTTTAAAAATGCCCCCCCCCCTCCCCTCTTGTACTATAGAGAAAGTTAAATTATGCAAATTAGTTCTTGTTCTTCAAATTACTTTAGACTCTTTACTGTCAAAAGTTGAGGACAAATTTTAATCAGGCATGGAAAAAAACAGAAATAGACCGATTATTCGTTAATGAAGAAAAAATAAGAAATAGAGCGTTTCTTCAAAAACGTATTTCGAAAACTAAAGAATTAAGTTAAAAAATAAGATCACATTTATGTTCTTAGAAGGCGTTATGAGACCCTCATTATGGTAATTTAAAAATACGTTTTAAGGTCCCATTTTTAAGCTTATTGATAAAATTATTTTTTGGCAATTTACAGAGAAAATCTTGTTTTTGAAATTTACAAGCCCAAAAATCAATATTCTTGCCATTTAGTTTTAAAGGCATTATTAAGAAGAGCAGAAACTAATCTTAAAACATTAAGGGTAAAATAAATAACATTATCATGAAATTCTTTTGATTGTATTTTGTTTTATTTTGGAAACCTTGCAAGATTTTTTCCAAAAATATTTGACCGAAATTTAATTGATGTAAAGGAGACAGGGTACTTTGATAACAAACCTTCACTCACGCTGAACCAACACGAACTGCTGGTTGCCAGGTATACATTTCNGCTAAACTAACACAAGCTACTGGTTGCCCGGTATGCATTCACGCTAAACTAACACAAGCTACTGGTTGCCAGGTATACATTCACGTTAAACTAACACAAGTTACTGGTTGCCAGGTATGCATTCACGCTAAACTAACACAAGCTACTGGTTGCCAGGTATACATTCACGTTAAACTAACACAAGCTACTGGTTGCCAGGTATACATTCACGTTAAACTAACACAAGCTAATGGTTCCCAGGTATACATTCCCACTAAACTAACACAAGCTACTGGTTGTCAGGTATGCATTCACGTTAAACTAACACAAGCTACTGGTTGCCCGGTATGCATTCACGCTAAACTAACACAAGCTACTGGTTGCCAGGTATACATGCCCGCTAAACTAACACAAGCGACTGGTTGCCAGGTATACATTCACGTTAAACTAACTCAAGTTACTGGTTGTCAGGTATACGATCATGCTTAACTAACACGAGTTAATGGTTGCCAGGTATACATTCACGCTAAACTAACACAAGCTACTGGTTGCCAGGTATACATTCCCGTTAAACTAACACAAGTTACTGGTTTCCAGGTATGCATTCACGCTAAACTAACACAAGCTACTGGTTGCCAGGTATACATTCACGTTAAAATAACACAAGTTACTGGTTGCCAGGTATGCATTCACGCTAAACTAACACAAGCTACTGGTTGCCAGGTATGCATTCACGCTAAACTAACACAAGCTACTGGTTGCCAGGTAAACATTCACGCTAAACTTACACAAGTTACTGGTTGCCAGGTATACATTCACGATAAACTACCACGAGTTACTGATTGCCAGGTATACATTTACGATAAACTACCACGAGTTACTGATTGCCAGGTATACATTCACACTAAACTAACACCAGTTAATGGTTGCCAGTTTATGTACTCGAAAATATCAACCAATTATAGAGAATTTATTTGGAGTTTTTTAAACCCAGTCTCGAGAATTTATTTAGAATATCACGAAACGTCTCGATCTAGAATAATAATTTCTCGGATCGAACCATCTAGAAATTTCGAAACTTCCTTTAATGGGCGACCAATTTTCTGGAGTTACTGGTAAACTAAACATATATAATCTTCCTTAGTTAAACTTTGCTGTCTGTTTGTTTGTACCCAATAAACGTATAAACAGCTGAAATGATGGATGCTCAGAACTACAAAAATGTTTTTTTCTATTGTACAAAGAGCATAGATGCTTAATTAGCAACAATTATTAATATAATATAATTCACACAAAACTAAGGAGCGTTACAATAATATTTGCTTTAATGTGTTAAGAATGAATTTGCTAATTCTTGTTTTAAAACTGTTTCCTTTATTTNATAGTAATAATAATAATAAAAATATTAATATTAAAGGTGTAATATTGGGGATTCAGTAGAAACTATAAGACTGGGTGGAGGAGTGTACCCAACTATGGCTCTAGGGAAGCATCATTTTTTTAGAATCATTGATAAACCCAATTTTCTGTCATTAATTCCTGCTTTTCTTGATTCTTCTATTCCTGCCCTGTTTCTGCTCCTAATTCTGTTTATGTTCCTGTTTCTGTTTCTTTTCTTGTTTCTGTTCCTGTTTCTGTTCCTGTTTCTGTTCCTGTTTCTCTTTCTGTTCCTCTTGTTTCTGTTCCTGTTTCTGTTCCTGCTTCTCTTTCTGTTCCTGTTTCTGTTCCTGTTTCTGTTCCTGTTCCTGTTCCTGTTCCTGTTCCTGTTCCTGTTCCTAACCCTGCTCCTGTTCCTGTTCCTGTTTCTACTCCTGTTCCTGTTCCTGTTCTTGTTTCTGTTCCTATTCCTGTTCCTGTTCCTGTTCCTGTTCCTGTTCCTGTTCCTGTTACTGTTCCTATTCCTGTACCTGTTCCTCTTCCTATTCCTGTTCCTGTTTCTGTTCCTATTTCTGATTCAACTTTCATATTAGTTTCCAATTCCGTCCTTAATTCTGTACTCTAGATTCTATTCCTTTTCCTGCATTTCTAATTCGTCGGTTAATGTTTTAAATAATCTTACTGTTGTCAGGTGTTTTATATTCCTCGTATTGATCCTTGTTTTCTTCATTTCTTTTTTATTTATAAATTTAATTAATTTCAACTCATTCTTTTTCTTTCTGCAGTTTTCTAGTTTATTCTTGATTCTATTATATTGTGTTAAATTTGATCAGTAAACCACAGCTGTGATCCAAACTTTATTCTTGTCTTCTGGGGTAGAGTAGCAGTAGCTATAGCTAGTAGATCAATAGCTCAAGGTGAACTATATATACTAGGGTAGAGTAGCAGTAGCTATAGTATAGTAGATCAATAGCTCAAGGTAAACTATATATACTAGGGTAGAGTAGCAGTAGCTATAGCTAGTAGATCAATACCTCAAGTTGAACTATATATACTAGGGTAGAGTAGCAGTCTATAGTATAGTAGATCAATAGCTCTAGGTAAACTATATATACTTGGGTAGAGTAGCAGTAGCTATAGCTAGTAGATCAATAGCTCAAGGTAAACTATATATACTAGGGTGTAGCAGTAGCTATAGCTAGTAGATCAATAGCTCAAGGTAATCTATATATACCAAGTAAAAGTATATAGCCACTAGATCAATACCTCAAGTTAAACAATATACTAGGGTAGAGTAGATGTAACTATTGCTAGTAGATCAATAGCTCAAGATAAAAGATTTTTTAAATGTCGTCTTTTTGAGACTCTTCATTCTTATTTCAATGGAATTGGAAAAACTTCAAAATGAGACAAATTCAAACATTCAAACATAGGCAAGCTTATGTTGATTTAATGTTGTTATAGAGCAAACAATTTCACCAGTAATTTACTGCACTGTTGTTGTGTTTCATGTTTATTGGACTTTTATAAATTATAACTTAAGTTTTCTTGCTTTTCCATCGTGTTATAAGTCACGTGAGTCCCGTGGTATACAATTTGTAGAGAGTAGTTTAAAATTGCTTCTTGTATTAAATTTGTCAATACAAAAATAGACATGAAATAGATCCTCTAGCATGATTTTCCCAGACTGGATTCTATCTCGAATTTCAACAAAAAAAGAAGTGAGCCCAACCCTAACATAATTTTTTGGGGTTTTCTGCTTTCAGTAAAAGTTTTGAAAGGGGAGTCTCTTTGTAAGGGACTGTTATAGACAAAACGTATTTTCAAGCAAAAAAATACGATTTTTTCCATTTTGTCATAGATCACCAGGTTTCGAAGGTTACCGTTGGGAATTGTCACTTGAAATTACAATGACAGACCCTTCAAATTGATGGAAAAATCTGATTAAAACTGATTTGTTCTTATTGTTTGTAGGAGAAGAGATAAATGATAATTACGGAGCTAACTACGCTAACATGCCACGACAGGTAGAAATTATACAGTGTGTCCCACAAACCTGATTACATGGTCTTTTGACACTATTATATTTATACAGTGAAACCCTTAATAACGAATACATCGAAAGAATTCATCAAATGTCGTATTCTTCCCTTTCTGATTATGGATTGTTGCTGATATTTAGTTTTTTAATTAAATGATTTTATGGAACTCTTTAATACTGTTCCGTCATATTCATGGCTATTTATTTAGTTTCGCAAATACTGAAATTTACGTAATATAGTCTAAAACTCATTAAAAAATTGTCAAGACGACATTTGATAAATTCTTCCGATGTATTCCTTATTAAGGTTTTCACTGTATATTGATACAAGCTAGATTTTTAGATTCTTTATATTTTTACGATCAAGAAATAAATCTGTCATTCGTTCTCCAATTAAAACATTTTGTTCTGTTTAAGTTGGAGCATTTTCAAAAGTAACAATGTCGACATTTTTTCCAATAAAATTGTTCAAGTAATTCTTGGGGCCTGAGAGTTGCAACAGAAAAGTTTGATTTGATTATAGCTGTTTTGGAGTTTATTGAACACAAACAATCAGACAGACAGACAAGCAAATTATACATAGATTTTTTTTTAGGAACGTCAACCCTTCCTTCAGAAGTCTCATTGGTTCCAGTGTTCTTGTAAGGTGACATATTCAGAATAAGTTTACAAAACATAATTCATGATTAAATTTTTTATGAAACAATAAACACAATCCTGCCATTTTCAAAATGTGGTCTGCCATTTTATTGCTCTCAAACATACCATAGAAATTTAGAATTATGTTTGAATTTCAATTTATCAATTAAAATGTTTCATCCTAAACTAATCATTCATATCTCCGGTCGTCAATCAATTTTCACTATTCTGGGTTATTTAGAATTTCATTGTTTCACTGTTTCACTGTTTATAAATACAAATTTTTCCGAAATAAATGTTTTATCTGATTCTTCTTTTGCACAATAAAAGGTTAAATTTAAACTCCCAAAACCTATGCCAACAAGTTTTCCTGAAACATTTGAGATATAGACTGGGCATGCACTAGTCTAATTTAAATCAAATGAAATATTTATTTGTCATATTACAGCAAATTAGATATTAACATAAATATTCATAAAGCTAATTTTATGGTTTATGTCAAGGAGACGAAATTAGCAGAAACTCAGTCGGTATCCTGTACAAAGTGCAGACTTGACTTTAAAAAAATTTCTTTAAATTAACAAAACCCAATTTTGACAAGGTAAAGCTCCTGTCTGAGAGCTAAGTTAAAGGTTTCCTGAGTCCAAATTTAATGAATTTGAGCCGTGCCTCAAATCCGTCAAAAACCGGTTTTAATTGTACGCCGACTTTAAAATCTTGAAACATTGAATACAATTTTCAGTGGAACCAACCATATTTAAGCCGCCTCTCAAATTTAAGCTGCGTCTCAAATTTAAATTATTTAAATTCGGCCTCCGGAGAAGTCTGGCCACATGCAACATACCCACAGATCTTCTTGTACTGCTCTTAACATAATTTTTTTATAATTTTATAAAAAAAAGCTGCTTTTCAGGCGTGTGTAAGCAACTATCCGGAATTTCTACGCTGCTCTAAAGACTATAAAAAGCTGCCCGGTTCAGCGTTCAAGTATAAACGGGTTGATAGACAAAAACTTAACAGGTAGAATATCTGTAGAAAAAGAACTTGACTGTTAAGGTAAAATGATACTGCACTTCCATTGGTGGAAATTCTGGTCACATCATACAACCGAAGCAAGATTTTAATAAAACCATTTTTATCTATTAAAAATGATTAAGAATTTTATTCGAATTATAATAGGAGCGTCTTTAAATAGGGATATCAGATAGAACTAATTAATTAGACGCAATCAACTCCTAGAAATGTTTGGCTTTAGCCTAAACCCCTATTCATTTTATCTCAACAGTCCCTCTAAAGGAACTGTAGACGTAACTTAAAGTGAACAATTATTTGTGAAGTGTCCTAAACTAACGGTATTATTTGTGGAGTGTCCTAAACCATTGGTATTATTTGTGGAGTGTCCTAAACCATTCGTATTACTTGTGGAGTGTCCTAAACTAACGGTATTATTTGTGGAGTGTCCTAAACCATTGGTATTATTTGTGGAGTGTCCTAAACCATTGGTATTATTTGTGGAGTGTCTTAAACCATTGGTATTATTTGTGGAGTGTCCTTTGGTATTATTTGTAGAGTGTCCTAAACCATTGGTATTATTTGTGGAGTGTCTTAAACTATTAGTATTATTTCTGGAGTGTCCTAAACCATTGGTATTATTTGTAGAGTGTCCTTTGGTATTATTTGTGGAGTGTCCTAAACCATTGGTATTATTTGTGGAGTGTCTTAAACTATTAGTATTATTTCTGGAGTGTCCTAAACCATTGGTATTATTTGTAGAGTGTCCTTAACCATTGGTATTATTTGTAAAGTGTCCTAAACCATTGGTATTATTTGTAGAGTGTCCTTTGGTATTATTTGTGGAGTGTCCTAAACTATTGGTATTATTTGTGGAGTGTCCTAAACTATCGGTACTGTTATGAATTGGACGAGGGTACTGTATTGAATTGGACAAGGTACTGTAGTGAATTGGACAAGGGTACTGTAGTTAATTGGACAAGGGTACTGTAGTGAATAGAACAAGGGTACTGTAGTGAATTGGACAAGGGTACTGTAGTGAATTGGACAAGGGTACTGTAGTGAATTGGAAAAGGGTACTGTAGTGAATTGGACAAGGGCACAGTAAGTTATAAGTTTATATATTTTAAGAGATGTGGAAATTCTGAAGAAAGAGATAAAAGGACACGTTTTTAAGGTAAAAGAAAAACTTGTTTTCGATTACATTAAATCCCATTAAATAAGACTTAGTTAGAAATTCATGATTACCATCTAATATTGAATTGGCTCTTATTGATTGACATTTGCCACATTTTCAAAAATTACACAAAAAAATATATATTTGTCATCTAATGGAATAGACTCACAACAGAAACAGATAACAGAGAGTTGCAATATTTAAAATTAGGTTACAATTGTGAAAATAATAATTGACAATGCCAGAGGTATATATTATCGTGAAAAATCACCCCCTTCCTCTTTCAAAATTATGTTTTTCCCAGATGTTCGGTTTGTCGACACGGAGCGTCAACATTTGTTTAAAAGTTTTAAAGGTTTAAAATCTAAATTGGGGAAAATGAATAATTTTTAAGGAAAAACAAAATGAATTTTTGGGTTAAAAGTATGAAAATAACCGAAACAATTGCCTTTTATTTAATGTCCAATTTTTCATCTTTCCCCTGAAAGCATCTGAAATCCCCCCCCAANATTATTATTATTATTATTATTATTATTATTATTATTATTATTATTATTATTATTATTATTATTATTATTATTATTATTATTATTATTATTATTATTATTATTATTATTATTATTATTATTATTATTATTATTATTATTATTATTATTATTATTATTATTATTATTATTATTATTATTATTATTATTATTATTATTATTATTATTATTATTATTATTATTATTATTATTATTATTATTATTATTATTATTATTATTATTATTATTATTATTATTATTATTATTATTATTATTATTATTATTATTATTATTATTATTATTATTATTATTATTATTATTATTATTATTATTATTATTATTATTATTATTATTATTATTATTATTATTATTATTATTATTATTATTATTATTATTATTATTATTATTATTATTATTATTATTATTATTATTATTATTATTATTATTATTATTATTATTATTATTATTATTATTATTATTATTATTATTATTATTATTATTATTATTATTATTATTATTATTATTATTATTATTATTATTATTATTATTATTATTATTATTATTATTATTATTATCAGGAAAGGTATAAGGAACTGTGTGTATCAGCTGTCTCCTAATAGATGCAGAGCAAGGGAGGTGAAGGAGGAAGATGAAAGATAAATTATAGAAAAAAGAAGAAAAATGAAAAACGGGGAAAAAGAAGAAAAAGTTGTGAAATTGTAAAAGCAAAGTTGAGTTATCAGTCTTTAAAACCTAGTGCTAAGAATCCGGATCCAAGTATTAAAATATGGATTTAGATCAAGGTATTCATGACCCAAATCCGGATCTAAGTATTAAAATCTGGATTGTTTAAATCTTACACAGATTTAAGGTTATAAAAACCTTGTTTTATAAACCTTTTTTATTTGCATTGGTTTTTTTGTTAAATATTAGAAGTGCTTAGTTTTGTTTTTAAATTCGTCTGAAGTCAAAATGTTTTTTCCCCATAATTTTATCGGATATTTTCCAAGCACATATATTAGGATATTTTCCAAGCACATATATTAGGATGTTTTCCACATCGACTTTCCCAATTGAAAATGTAAAAATGTAAATAAATGTGTATGTTTAAATGAAGGTTCAATTCAAAAACTGTCTAAATAAAATAACATGACAAATTTGTACATTCGACGAAATGTAATTTTTTCTAAACCTGAAGTTTATCTATGTTTTATTTGTAAATAGTATTTTTATTTTTTTTCCTTCATATTTTTAAACTGTTTAAAAGTAAAGACAAGTGATTGATTATTTTTGATAAGTTTTTTTAGAGAATAAAATTAACGTTTTTTACTTCTTTTCTTAAAATGAGCTTTATTTTGTACTTATTTTTATCATTGTATATAAGGTTTTTACCTAATTTTTATTTTACACAGTTGGAAATAAGGTTGGAATTAAGGAAGCTAAAGGAGCAGGTACGGTAAGAGAAGGAAGAGGGTAGAGAGAAGGGAAGAGAAGGGAGAAAGACGGATAAGAGAAGAGAAGAGAGATGGAAGAAGAAGAGAGAAGGAGAGATTAGAAATAAGAAGAGAGATTAGAAGAAAGAAGTAAAGAGAAGCGAGGAGAAGGAAAAGAATTGAGAGAAGAGAAGTGAATAGAAAAAATAAAAGGAAAGAGTAGAAAGAGGGGAATAGAGAAGTGAAGAGAAGAGCAGAGAAAAAAAAGACCATAGAGACGGGATAGGAAGAATAGAGGAGAGAAGTGAAGATAAGAGAAGAGAAGAGAAGGAAGAAAAACATAGTGAGAGGATAGGGGAATAGAATGGAGGATACAGGAATAGAAGATAGAAGTAAAGAGAGACGGGAAAAAGTGGGAGAAGAGAGGAGAAGGAAAAAGAACAGAGAGAAAAGAGAATAGAGATGTGAGAAGGAAGAAGAGAAGAGAGAGGGGAGAAGGAAGAAGAGAAGAGAAGGGAGAAGGAAGAAGAGAAGAGAGAGGGGAGAAGGGAGAAGGAAGAAGAGAAGAGAAGGGAGAAGGATAGAGACTGGAAAAGGATCATGAATCATAAGAAAGATGGTGAGGGAGTGTGCGTGTTTGTTATTTAGTAAGAAAATGAATTTAATTACTTAGACTCTGAAGAATTCTTATAAAATACCTTTCTTTGTCCTTTCTATTTTCTAGTTTCTTCAACACATTTATACCTTATATTCCATTCCTTCTACCCATTCTCTTCCTTTTCTTCTACCCATTCTCTTCCTTTCCTTCTACCCATTCTCTTTCTTTCCTTCTATCCATTCTCTTCCTTTCCTCCTACTAATTATAATCCTCTCCGTCTACCCATTCTTTTCCTTTCCTTCTACCCATTCTCTTCCTTTCCTTCTACCCATTCTCTTCCTTTCCTTCTATCCATTCTCTTCCTTTCCTTCTACCCATTATATTCCTTTTCTTCTACCCATTTTCTCCCTTTCCTTCTACTTATAATATTCTTTTCCTTCTACACATTCTCTTCCTTTCCTTCTACCCATTATCTTCCTTTCCTTCTACCCAGTCTCTTCTTTTCCTTCTACCCATTCTCTTCCTTTCCTTCTACCCATTATCTTTCTTTCCTTCTACCTATTCTGTTTCTTTCTTTCTACCCATTCTCTTCCTTACCTTCTACTAATTATATTCCTTTCCTTCTACCCATTCTCTTCTTTTCCCTCTACACATTCTCTTCTTATCATTCTACCCATTCTCTTCCTTCCTTTCTACCCATTCTCTTCCTTTCCTTCTACTAATTATATTCCTTTCCTTCTACCCATTATCTTCCTTTCCTTCTATTCATTATCTACCTTTCCTTTGACCCATTACCTTCCTTTCCTTCTATCGATTATCTTCCTTTCTTCTATCCATTCTATCTTCCTTTCCTTATATCCATTCTCATCCATCCTTTCTATCTATCCATTCACGGGGTTTTGACCCCCCCAAGAACATAGAAAATTAAGCCCCCCTTCTCCCCTGGACAAATTCCTGAATACAACCCTGTATATGTTGGTTTCTATTCTTACTTTCTTTCCTCCAGGGTGTCACACGAAACATAACAGTTTTCAATGTCTTCTTCCACATGCTGTATTAGATGTTTAAGAACTTTTCCAGTTTATTTCTTTAAAAAAATGTTAACTCATATATATTTTAATGTGAAATCATATAAAAACTGTTATAAGTCTCTTTAGTATCAAACTATTTATCAAATTATGGAAGAAGACATTTTGAACTATTCAGCGACTGTCATGTTTCGTGGGACACCCTGTATCTACTTCCTTTACTTTCCCCCTCCGATCTCATTCCTAAAAATAGTTTTGTTTGTCCTTCTTTTTAGAACATAAATTTTATAAGAAAAAAGTTAATATTTTTTATAATTTTTCCAAATTGAAACTGACCCTGATGTCCGTAATTACTAATGATTTATAATTAGCCATGATAAATAATTAATGTCCATATGTTTACTCGTTGATCAATTTCTACCATGACATGCTAGAATTAATAGATTAAAAAACACTTTAAATATTTACATATTTTTAACGGTTGTGGGAAAAAATATTTGTTCTTTGCAAACTGAGACGGGCGTTGTTGACACGGACAAAGCTGTTAACACGAACAACGCTGTTAACACGGACAACGTTATTAACACGGACAAACGTTAACACGGACAATATTGTTAACACGGACAACGACCGCTTCTGAATTAACGAATTTATTTAAGTTTCAAAATTATAAAAAAAATAACATTTCCCTTGAAGGTATTGTAGACGACGTAATGTTTAGATATCAAAGTACCATGTCTGATTCGCAATCATATCCTTTAAACATTTTTCTGAAGATCAAAAATGGAAAGACTTAACCCCGTTTGGCGTTTTACAATCCGAACATTTATTTTTTTCAATTGCAGTTTCACAATTACAGTGACTTGCTTCAGAAGGAAGGAAATTTAAAGATTAAAACTCTTTTCAGATAACGCGTCGATGATATCCTTCCGTGGTTACTCATAAAGAGGTCTACAGGGTACCTATGTGAATCAGACTAGTCACTCTTCTTCTTTATAACTAGGTGAATTCCGTAAAAATATTACGAACTCGGGACGCAAAAAAATTTAAAGAATTTAAGTCTTTTTTACTTTTCTCTTTAGATAATACTTTTTCTCCTCGAGTCAAAATTCAAATTTTAATTTTTAAATTGTTTGAAAAAACATACCCGAGTCGAGTCTTATTTACCCCGAAAAAGTACCAAAAATACACCCGGTGATAAAAAATTAAATTTTACTTCACATTCTTATTCTCAAAAAGATAATAAAATCAAGTAAATCATATAATATTTATTATTATATTAATATATAAACTAAATGAAAATATAACAAGCTTTATCGACGCACCAAACTAAATTATAGAAATTATTAAACAAAAATTTATTCTACAGGTTCAGAATACATAGGTATGCTGATAAATGGTCTTAAAAAAGAAAATCGAGCATAACAATATTTTGAAGGTTTGCCATATTCTACGTGCAAATGTTTCCAAAAGGTGATTTGAGCATTTTTAGCCCATTTAGGAACTGGACGAACAAATTTGTATATATATATAATAAATAAATATTATGTATATATATACAAAGCTTATTATAAAAGTATGATAAACTTCCATCAAGATATGTCGCAGTTAAATTCAATTTAATCAAGCAGAAGCTAATCAATCCGTGTCACTAGATCAATTCATCAATTCAATTCGTGCTTTGTCAAATAGTTTTTAATCAATCGCATCAATTAAAGTTGTTCATCATTGATTGACAAATCAATCCATAACTTTGCGCACTGATTCCTTGATCATCCATAAATCGATTTTATTTCAATCAATTAATCTTCCCTGGATGAAGATGAAGTTTTCAGCGTTCAGTTTCCGTATCATCGTCTGACGAGTCTCCCTTATCCCCCGTCTCTGTATCTGAATGACGATCAAACTCAAAAGTTTTAGACTTCTTAACTGGCAGTGTTGCGTACTTAGCACTGTTCCGTGTAAAGGCCGTGGCGGTATCAGAGGTCGTCTTTGTCTTCTTCTTCTCCGACCTCGGTTTCGAGGTCGGAGCACATCTCGTCTCGTTCTTAGTTTTGTAGCAGAAGTCTGGCATCCTGTATACCCAGTGTTCTGCTGTAGAGCTGGTGGAGGATCCTGAACTTGAACTACTGGAAGAACTAGGATTGAGGCAGGATTTCTGATAGAAGAGGATATACGCGTCCTTGCCAACCACCTCGGACTCCTCGACCTGCCTCGTCTGCATGTCATCAAAGGAATACCAGCGCCCGTCTGTTGGATTCCTACAGTATGCGGTGTAGTGTCCTCCTAGTAGATCGGATCCATGGTGATTACACACGGAGTAAAGCTCGTACACAGTTTCCTCACGGTCGTAGGCTCGGAACCGTTTAGGATGTTTCCACGGAGAGAAGGTCGTCTTTAAACTGCTGGGTTGAGCTTCGGGTGAACTTGGTCCTGGCTCAGCCGCCCTCGCCATGTTAGGACTCATGTCGAACCCTTCCAACGGGAACTCGACCAGGGTTTCCAACTTGTTTGCGGATTTTGTGGATTGACGGAAGCGCTTGAGATGAACGACCATGACGTCAGGGACGGACCAGACGCCGAGCTTCTTCACAACCTCACGCTTCTTGTTACACTGAGGGCAGAAGTAGGCGTCGTCTTTTCCCAACCTCTCCTCACTGGTGTACAAACTGAAAATATTTCACTTCAATAATTTTAATTTCTTTTTTCTCTTTCTGTACTGCTAGCTCTCTAGAGCAGTAATTAATACAAAAAAATAAATAAATAAAAATAATCCTTATTTTACGATAAAAAACAATGAAATATTTTTTCATATAACTAAAATGTATTCTATTTCTTTTAAAACTCGAAAATAAAATGTAAAAATACTTTTGTTTTTATCTCTCTAAGTTGGGTACAGAGTACAGAAAAGTACATACTATTAGTACAGACAAAAGGCCATTTTCAGATATCTTGTACACAATTTTTTAATTTTATTTACAGTTTAAGAAAAAAATAATTTTAAAAACATTTTATATATTAGGTCCTGCTGTCTGAGTTAACACCCCTAAGAGCTGAGTTCCAAAAATCTGATTTAACACCCCTTAAATTCAGAACATCTGATTAAACCAAATTAAAAGCCAAATTTACTAAATTAAAAATCCCAAGAATCCAAGTTTCTTAAATGTAAATAAACAAGCCTAAAAATCTGAGACAAAACCTGAATTTTTTTTCTCATGAATTATAATTCTCAAAAAACCTGGTAAAACGCCCCTGAAAGCCTAGTTTCCAAGGTCTGATTAAATTATTTAAACCTCATTATTTCATAATTCATATCGACCACAATTAATTTCTTTGTTACCCTTAAACCCTTTGTCGGATCAAGAATGTATAAAATATCCACCATCTTCTCTTTCAAAATTTCAATTGTAGTTTTTCTGTAATTACTAGAATTTAACACATTTCAAATTAAAGCCAAGAACGACGATATTTCCCACATTTTTCATCAGATACCAAACCGTTAAGAATCAGACCCTCTTTAAATGGAAAGCCGCTTAAAATTATCGCTTCTAGTCCCTTTAAAACATAATTAATTGATGAAAAAAGAGCAAGGTTATAGGAATGGAATTTATTGCTTTGCTAACACGAATAAATATCCATGATATCAATAAACCCAAGGACAGGCTAGGGATACGAACAAATATCCATGATATCAATAAACCCAAGGACAGGCTAGGGATACGAATCCATGATATCAATAAACCCAAGGACAGGCTAGGGATACGAACAAATATACAAGGACAGGCTAGGGATACGAACAAATATCCATGATATCAATAAACCCAAGGACAGGCTAGGGATACGAACAAATATCCATGATATCAATAAACTCAAGGACAGGCTAGAGACACGAACAAATATTCATGATATCAATAAACCCAAGGACAGGCTAGAGATACGAACAAAAATCCATGATATTAACAAACCCAAGGACAGGCTAGAGACACGAACAAATATCCATGATATCAATAAACCCAAGGACAGGCTGGGGATATTCAAAGGGACTGTTCACGTATCTTAAGTGACCCTCAATTAAAAAAAACCGTTACATGCTCGATTCACAATGGTACCTTTAAGCCATTTTTTGGATTAACAATACGATATGTAAGATATTGTCTTTTTTATTTATATTCTCTTAATTTCATTTTCTTGTTTTTGCTTCATATATCCGCAAACCAATATTATTTAGAAAAACAATTAAAAATATCAATGTTCAGATATGAGAAACTTCATAATGTTTACTCAAACAAAGGTTTAAACTGTACTCTTGTCAATCGGACATAGAATATGACGTACCCTTTAACCCCCCCCCCACATACACAAAAAAAAAATATTTCAGATTATTTATAAATAAAAAGAAATATAAAAAAGTTAATTTAAATTTTTGCTGAATTAACAAAATGAAGTTGAAGGCAAAAAATATAGAAAGATAAAAAATAAAAGTAATCACAGGGATATTTCATAAATAAACCGGAAATGAAAAAGACAGTTTAAAGAAACAAAAAAAAATGGATATCTACGTTGTAAATCGGGCATTTTTTAAAGAATAGAAACGAGAGCCAAATAGATGTTGACTGTTATTTTTTAAAAATAAAATATACTTATAATGTAACTCTACAGAATTCTTATTGTAAACTTTGACCCTATCGTTTAAAAATAAAGAACCAATTATATATAGTGTAATTAAAATGAAAAAATACTTTAATTTAGGTTAAATGTAAAAGTAAAAGTGTTTGCAAAAACAAATATTTATGTTTAAACTGTATTACCTAAAGCAATCTTGTAGCGTGACTGAAGATCCTGACTCTGGTTCCTCCCTGACCTGGTTTACACTGCAGTGCTCCTCAATCTTGTCCTCATCATCATAGATAACCTGGGTCTTGGCCGGCATATCCCACTCCAGGACTAGCTTCACATGGACCGGTCCTCCTACGTCCTCAACCTGGGAGATATTGATCGCGGTCTCGACACACTCCATGTAGAGGGGGAGCTCCATCTTGTCGTCCAGGTAGACTCTGTCCTGAAACCCGTCCACCACACGAATTCGGAAGAGTGGAACACGTTGGGCGGAGATGAGAATGTCGTCGTGTAAGATCGGAGACATTTCTTTCATTAAAAGTTTCTGAACGTCGGCGTAGACAGTTTCTCTGGATATCTGGGTTGTATAGGGACTACCAAACCTTTTCTCTATACTTCCCTCCTTGTAGACATTGATCCAAGTTAGCACAACAAATGCTCCGTCGTCTTCATTTTCTTGATTAATCTTGGGGGTTTCTATACAGTAGACCGGAGCTTCAGCTTCTATACAACTTAAACTTTGTCCGTCGCTCAGGGTTCTTTGAAAGCTTACAGAGTCGATTTCTGTGATAAGTAATTGATCGATTTCGATCCCTGTATCCTTGGACAGAGCTTCTCTTAGATCCTTGATGTAGGAGTCGACAGGGAGGGTTAGACCAATCCTAACCTGCCTGGGGGACTGATCTAGGTACAGAACTGTCACAACAACAGGACGAACTTGTATCTGAGGGATTGGAAGAGAAACACAGAGAAACGGATCAAAAGTGTTAGATTGTCGTTCACATGTAGGACAGGTTAGACTAGAACGAAACTGTGCTTGAAAAATGTCAACTACAAAACTGTTGTTGCACCGCATGTAGTTAGCTAAACTTTCGGCGGCCAAGGCGTCGTCAGATTTGCCGGGAAAGTTCTTTAACCGCTTGTACTTTTTACTTGTAGCAGTGTTTAATTCCTCATGAACTTTGTCAAGCAACCAAAGAAGAAACTCTTGGGCATCATGTTGATTTCCACCTTTGTACTGACTTCCATATTTGTCTACCAAGGTTTTAAATTTATCTGATATCTCAGGATCGTACTGTAAACTCCATAAACTTTTTAGAACCACAGCTAACTGCTCAGTAATCTCGCCTTTCCCCATGGCAGGGGATTTTGTAAAGGTAAGTCGTCTTCGCCGCTTTAGGTCAGATTTATACTGGTCTAGGACGAAGTATTCAGCCAGTATATCCGTGTAGCTAAGGCACTGAAGAATGGAGTTCATGAAACAAGTGTTTCCGTGATTTCTGATCCCAATAACCCCGGGAACCTTCTGAGTTTCCTCGAAATATGATTTCCATTCCTCGGTTCTTGAATTCAGGTCAGAAGGATCTGAGCGTAGTTTGTTTTTGGACACTGCAATATGGTTCACCACTTTGGTAAAAAAGTTTTTAACGGAATCTGCTTTAGAAGCTAGGCCATTGTTATCTAATCTGGGGGATTCGCATGAATCTTCTTTCACTTTGGTCGCCATTTCTTTTAGATGTTTCTTCACTTCCTTCCTGTTCAAACCAAACGGATTTTTTGTTAGTGTCATGGATCTCTTTAGAGTTACCTTCCCCTTCAAGGCCTTAGGTTTGTCACTGTGCTCGGGCGAACATGAATTTGTAGTTTCATGATTTATAGTTTCCGTATCAACAAAGTTTTCCACTTTCCTTTCAAATATTATTTCCTTTTGTTCCACCATTTTAAATATTAAACTTCAGGTTAATTTGACAAATCTAGTTTATCGCACAATTTAGCACAATCACTACATTGCTACTTGTACAAGTCTATCTGATATTTAAAGATACAAGCTGGCAGTTTGTCTAGCGAAAGTACACGCCTAGTTCTAGGTTGTATACTCGGCTCTCAGCTCTCTGTCCAGTCAACGTAAATGAGACATCTTGCGGCTGAAAAGAGAAATATTTCAACAATGACATCATTTAATGAATAATTTCTTCATATCATCTTTTATTATTTATTCAAAAGTTAAAAGTGTAAAATAAAGACACATAAAACGAAAAAATATTTATAGGCAACTAAAAATCTGGCAAAATATCGCAAAAGAATTTATTATTAAAAATTCCTAGAATATTCTAAAGGTTTGTCGTCTTCGTAGTTATGACGTCATTCCTAACAGGTTTATTTGCCCTGTTCAACAACGACCTTCATTCCTTAAAATACCGATAAGGATAATGAACAATTATATCTATATATAGAATTCATACTTTTTTGTTAATAATCATTTTACTGAAAAAAAACTTTTAATCCCATTTAAATAATTACAATACCGTGGGAAAAGATGTTTATAAAATATATATAATGTTTGAAACATTGTAATAATCCGAATTTCAGTACGCCTCATGAATTTTAACGAGTTGAGCGATGCTATATCATTTGCACTAATGACCGATTGAACTATACATCATAATATATAATTCTTTAACAAAATTGTAAAAACTAGATAAAATATTTAGCATTATGCTTGAGAAATTGACTGTAGAGTGTAGAAACGGTCAAATTATTTTAATTAGATTCTTCTACAATTATATACATGCATAGCAACCTTTATTTTTCAAAATTAAAGAATATATAATGCTTGAACTCTTCAAATAACACAAAAATAAAATAACAAATATTATATTAAACATTTTTAAAGGACATGTCATCATTATTAATTAAAATGGACAACATATAATGCATACATTTTTTAATTGCCTAAAACAATATCAAATGTAAAGGGCATATTTCCTTTACTAAGCAACACGTCTTGGAACATATCTTATTAAAAATCTATATAAAAAAAAAAATAATGTCTGATAGACTTTATACATAACAAAATTAAAACTACAAAAATTAATATTTATAGAACTTACAACGTTATCATTTATCAATTAGAAACAAAAATGTTTAAAGAACATATACTTCAATTAAACCCGGAGGGCGGGGGGGGGTTGTTCAATCCCCCCTGTGGGATTTCTAAATAACTTAAAACGGCTGACATATTTTATATCAGTAACGCGAATATCATAATCTCCAATTCGCCCTACATTCCTCATGCACACTTTTCTACTCTATCTCTTGAAATCACATTGGCAAGATTTACGTCGAAAATAATGGTATCTGGACTGAAATGTTATTCCAAATTAATTTTCTGCCAGGCATTGTGCATTGAGTCTATAATTCAGCCCAGGATACCTAAGTACTATTTTATATCTTAATTCCTAAATGATTGGTCAAACCATACCATACTCCACCCATCGATTTATTGTACTGTTTGACTATGAATATCATGACTTCCACATAAGATTTCCATTTTCTGTTATAACATGCAAAACTTGTTTTAAAATTAACAACTTCTTTCTGGCAAGTTACCAAGCAAGGAGCAAAGCATCCAAACAGGTGAATTTTGTATACAAATGAACAGGAACTAGCTTGGGGTTAACTTTAACCCTATCTCTGCGCATTGTCCCAGCATAATTATAACAGGTATCAGTCATAAATCAACAAGTTTCATACTGCTGAAAAATTGACTGCAATTCTTGTAATCTTGTAATCTATGAAGTATTCTATTCCTTTATTTTTGAAAAGTATGTAGATATGTGTGTAAAAGAAGTTGAGTCTTTGCCACAACCTTGAATATTCCATTCCCTTTATCTTTGCAACCTGGCGGTGTTAACCTTTGATATTTGAAACTTACATCTAATAAAGTTTATAGTTTGAAATATCTAAGGTCTTCGACATTTTCCGACATACTTTTTTTACTTTGTTAAATCCTCCCTTGCACCCTAACCATCAGACAGAGGTTTAATGAGCAGGCCTTGAAATGTTGGACTACAGACATGTATAACACTCCCCTATCTCAACTCTAAGGGTAAAATCTCCAATCTATATTAGAAAATAAAAGCCCTATCGGGATAGGGTTAATATCATAAAAACAACAAATTATGTTTAAGTACATATACTTCCTTTATCAATTAAAGTACAAAACAAAAAATATTTTAAAACTATTTTCTTATCAATTTATATAAATAACAACATATATAATGGTTAAAAACATAATTCCTTTTTTAAATAAGATAAAATAACAAATAATGTTTAAAAGTATATTTTTTTTGTTAAGATAAAAACAACAAATAATTTTTAAGAACATATTTTTACTTATCAATTAAAAAATAAAACAAAAACCATGTTTTTTAAAATTTATTTTCTGATCAATTTAGGTGAAACAGCAAATATATAATATATAATATATAATAATAATATAATTAAAATAAAACAACAAATATTGTATATATAGAATTCATACAATTTTATTAATTAAAGTAGAATAACAAATATTATCTATTACAATTTTATTAATTAAAATAAAACAACAAATATTGTCTATAGAACATACAATTTTATTAATAAAATAAAACAACAAATATTGTATATTGAACATACAATTCTATAAATTGAAATAAAACAACAAATATTGTATATAGAACATACAATTTTATTAATAAATTAAAATAAAACAACAAATATTGTTTTTAGAATATATACTTTTAGGAATTAAAATGAAACAACAAATATTGCATAAAGAACATACAATTTTAACAAGAAAAATAAACAAATAATGTGTTAATATCAAAGTACATCTATTACTTTTATCAACTAAAATATAACTAGAACTAATATTTAATGTTTATAGAACAGCAACTTTATAAATTAAAATAAAACAAAAAAATATGTTTAAAGAACAGACCTCTTTATCAATTAAGATAAAACATTAAATAATGTTTATAGAACAGACAACTATAATAATTAAGATAAAACATTAAATAATGTTTATCGAATTAACAAACAACTATATAATCAAAATAAAACATTAAATAATGTTTATCGAACAGACAACTATAATAATTAAAATAAAAAATTAAATAATGTTTAAAGAACAGAAAACTATAATAATAAAGATAAAACATTAAATAATGTTTAAAGAACAGACAACTATAATAATTAAGATAAAGCATTAAATAATGTTTATAGAACAGACAGCTATATAATCAAAATAAAACATTATATAATGTTTAAAGAAGAGACACTATAATAATTAAGATAAAACATTAAATAATGTTTATAGAACAGACAACTATAATAATTAAGAAAAAACATTAAATAATGTTTATAGAACAGACAGCTATATAATCAAAATAAAACATTAAATAATGTCTATCGAACAGACAACTATAATAATTAAGATAAAGCATTAAATAACGTTATAGAACAGACAACTATATAATTAAAATAAAACAACAAATAATGTTTTTAGAAGAGACAACTTTATAAATTAGATAAAACATCAAATAATATTTAAAGAACTGACAATTTTATCAATTGCATACATTTTCAAAACTGGGTCGAATTTTAAATGTGCTAACGCTTTGTTGCCACACTTAAAATTCGACCCAGACTTGAAAATGTATGCAATTTTAATAGCTGTCTGGATCCATGTGCAAGGTCTTGGAGCGCGTTGACTTGTATACTTGTTTTTAGGTCTTGGAACGCGTTGACATGTATACTTGGAATGCGTTGATATGTATACTTGTTTTTAGGCCATGGAACATATTGATATGTATACTTGGAGCACGTTGTTATGTATACTTGTTTTTAACTTGTGAATTCTTATAGAGCACTATATAAAAATCCAGGACCGTCAAAAATAAAAATTCCCTCTTTAAAAAGAAACCTTTTCCCGGTATTGTATCAGAAAAATGAAATTATAAGGTCTAAATTAAAGTTTTTGACAAACTTTTTAAAATATTATTTTTAAAATTTTAGGTTGATTGGAAGTATTTATTTACTGTAGAATGGATCTCTGGATGTGTGCATCTATGGATCCAGGTAGGGATTACAAGGTGGATCAATGGATCCAGGTAAGGATTACGACCGGGATGAATCTATAGATCATATATCCATGCAGAGCTATAGGTATGGATGCTAGGATGTGTAGATGTATCCAGGTATGGATTACAGGATGAATCCACGTATCTATGTATCCAGGTATGGATTGCGGATGGTTTCATGGATCTATGTATTCAGATATGGATGACATGATGTAACTAAGGATCTATGTATCCAGGTATGGATTACAGGATGGATCTATGGATCTATGTAACCAGGTATGGATTACAGAATGGATCTATGGATCTATGTATCCAGGTATGGATTACAGGATGGATCTATGGAACTATGGATCCAGGTATGGATGACATGATGGAACTATGGATCTATGTATCCAGGTATGGATTATAGGATGGATCTATGGATCTATGTATCCAGGTATGGATTACAGGATAGAGCTATGGATCTATGTATCCAGGTATGGATTACAGGATGGATCTATGGAACTATGGATCTATGTATCCAGGTATGGATTACAGGATGGATTTATGTAACCAGGTATGGATTACAGGATGGATCTATGGATCTATGTGTCCAGGTATGGATTACAGGATAGAGCTATGGATCTATGTATCCAGGTATGGATTACAGGATGGATCTGTGGAACTATGGATCCAGGTATGGATTACAGGATGGATCTGTGGAACTATGGATCTATGTATCCAGGTGTAGAGAACAGTCTGGAGTCTGCTGCTGAGGCTGGAAGGAGGATATAAACAGCTCCAGTCCTCACTAAACATCCACCGGAGGCTTGTCTCAACTCCCAACCAATCCTCAAGGTCGGATCTGAGTCCGGAGCTCCACCTAATCCAGCTCCAGTTCCTGTATAGGCAACCTAGAACCCTTTTCTTAGTTATATCTTCATCAGTACAGTTCTACGTGATGTTGGAGAAGGTTGGAGAAGGTATTGGATAATGTTTGATACCTAGAGACGGTGTAATAGTGAACTCAAACCTGCCTGATGATTAAACAAAATCTAAAGAGTTACTGCAGGCTAAAACCAGGTTCACCAAACCAAAAAATCTTTTTGAGAAAATCTCTAGAGTTGAAAAAACTCAATTTATATGTATTTATTACGTAATGTATATTTTGATATGATAATATAATATTTCCATAGAACGATCCCAGACTAGATTCCACCATTTCTGTAATTAATGTGTCCTGCAGTATTCTAGCTATAAAACTCCACAAAATAATTTGATTGTAAAATGAATAAGTTTTTTATACATTGTGCACGGCTATAGATTTAATTCAAACAAATAGTATTTATATATAAGTAGAATATTGGTTAGTATTATTTTTTCTTTTAAAAGATGAATATAAAATAGAGAACCACGGAAAAACACTGATGAGATGTTTTTTCTTCCAATCATTTAAAACGAAAAATATTTCTCGTTAAAGCTCATTTAAAATATCAATAAGGACCGAAGGTTATTTTCATAAATTGGTTAAGATATTTTTTTTATGATCTATACCAATAACATTTCTTGCTATCATTTAACATCCAAGGGTTTTTTACGTGAGTGTTTTAGATTTGGTAAAAGTTATAATATCCAAGGTAATAATGCAAGGAGAGTTATTTCAGAGGTGTACGCATCTTTTGTACTGCAGTGTGCTGTCTCTGGGTGGTAATGTAAACACAAGACGGATGTGGAAGTCTGAAATGGGATCCATCTTTCACATAAATAATCAATGAAATATTCTGGTCATAGGAAACTATTATGTGAATTATCAAAATTATCAAAGTTTAATGCTTTTAACCTCCTCGGAAACAAAACGAACACTGATGCATCTATTCTTGTTTACAAATTCCGCCCAGAGAGAACTGGTTTCAATATGTACGCAGAGTATACGCAACTGCAATTAGCTTTTCTTGCATTAGTACCTTGATTATATCTGACTTGTTTTTAAGAAAATCTAGAATTCTATCTGAAACGAATTTCTGATAAACGAATGACATAATTTTTCTTCTAACCATCTAGAACAGAAAACATTTCCAGCTATAATATGTGAAATTAATAAGGTGTGTATAGGTGTTTCCCGTCATGGGAAAAATATCTGTATCTAATGATCTACAATGAATATCATTATTTTTACCGTGGGTGTATAACTAATATAAATAATTGAACTTTTTCAAGAAGACATTTTAAAACCTAAATCATGGGTCCCTCACTCTTCTTTTTCTTTCTATACCATAAATCCATATCTTTTTCATTTAAAGTCAAGCTTACATTAGACCTGAGTCCGAATTTAATGAATTTGAGCCGCGTCTAAAATCCGCCAAAACTCTTTTTCAATTGAGCGCAATTAAGTGGGACCAACCATATTTGAGCCGTGTGTCAAATTTAAGCCGCGGCTCAAATTCTTTAAATTCGGCCTCAAGCATATAATATAGATATTTATACGAATATAGATCACTTATACAAGTTTTCAGAAAAAAACAAAATTAGTCTTTAATATTAATTTAATAAAGCTCTTTGCTAATGTATATATATTTATGTCAGCTATATAGCTGGCCAAACGGCTGGACCAAATTGGTCGAAATTTCTTGACGGAACCCTAAGGTTTCCCAGGGGTAACAAAGGCTTTAAAAATCGACATTTTTTTCTTCAAAATTTTCCCTCTTTCCCAGAACCAACTTACCCCCTTTCCAGAACCGTTTTTCCCCTTCTTTCGAGAAATATGGGAACAAATTTAGATAATATCGGAAAATTCAAATTATTTAAAAACTCTTTTTTGATGAAATTATTCAAAAATGGTTTCATGTATTCCCCCCCTCCCCCACCTTCCCTTCCCCCTTTTCCCTTCTTCTATTTGACTATGACTGTATAAGATGAATGTACTGTGTATGTACTATGCATATTGAATATATGTAGACCATTGTATTGTCTCAACTCTTGACACTAGAGCTGCATTGGAAAACATTTTTTTAATGTAAAAAAAATCGATTGGATTAAGATTAATTAATCTTTCATATATAAAAGATGAATCATAAAAGATATTGGCGATTAATTTTTTAAACATTTCGATTTTTTGTCAGAAGTCCATATTTATAAACTATAGGGAGATGTAATTGAGCTTTCTACAGCTAGTTCAGCAACTTCTTTAGTATAGTGATCAGTTTGAGCTAGGGTGGTGGTTCAATATAATCTCTGCAAAACTTCTTTAAGTAATTGAACTAACCGTAGATAGTTTAACTATGAACATCTCGATATTCCATACTCAGACCATAGAGAAATGTTACATTTCAATTTATTCACTTTTAGCTAATCTTTAAACGAGAAAACACCGTTAACCAGTTTTGAGTCAAGTGAGTGTTAACTTTAGAACCGATTTATACCCTTTAAACTAGATTTGTCGTGTTAAGCTTTTTATAGAATTTTTTGTTGGTTTATGTTTTAAAAAAAGTATATACAGTGTCGTTTTTTTCGTGGATTTTGAATGAGAGATCAAAATATGACCGACAGTATTCCGATACATACAGGATGAACTTTGTTGTATTTTTACGTCATATTGAAAAACGAGATTAGTCCCTTTAAAATTCTATGGTTTGCTGATATAACTAGGAGTGGAGGGTCTGGAGGAGGTTTATAATGAAAGTTGAAATCAAGAATACATATGTAGAACTAGATTCAATAGGAACATACATCAGAAATACATTAAATTATTTATAAAAGGGACTGTACACTTAAAAATGGTACACTTGGAAGCTTTTTCTGAACAAGAATAAATAAGATATTTATGTTTCCCCGTTAAAAGATTGAAAATATTGATTAGTTTCGAGTTTGGGTTTTCTAAACAAGAGTGTTACTTGAAATTACAACAAAGGTAATTCCAATTATTAATTATTTGTAGCTTAAAGGAACTGAGTGTTTGCTACAAACTCTGATTTTCCAATCCTTAAATCTTTGCTACCCAATATCGTAGACCTTGAATATTTCAAAATATTAATTCTGTTAGACCAAATAATCTAAGTGTGTACCATGTATTAAAGTTTTACAAAATCAGTTTGCAAAGATTTAGGGATTAGAACATTATGTTTATGACAAGAAATAAATTCCTTTATCTAAACCCTCTTAGATCTTTCTTTTTTAAAGTTTTCTGAAAGTTTGCTAAAACAACAATCATTTGTCTTTGTATTTAGTCTGAAATCATGGATTTGATCTGACAACTAAAATGAATGGGAACACTTTATTTCAGACTTTTAGTTATATAAATGCAAAATCATTTTTCTCTGTATAAGCTGTAACAGCAATTTGTAAGAGCCCAAGGCCGGAGGTTTTTAAGATGAGAGAAACCAATCTTGGAATAAGATATTGATGTATGGTATATATAGACCTGGAGCAGAACATGAGGAAGAATGAACATTCCTTTCAAAGATCTCCAGATATTCATCAGAAATCGAGTGAAGGCAATATCTTCACTTTTCATATGGAATCCAACACCAATTCACTGACAGTTGAACGCCGTCCAGTTAGACGCCTGTCTCCCATTCCACCCACAGCTCATTTTCCTACAGTGCTTGAAGAACCAAGTTCATCAAGTGCTGAAGGATCTGAGGGGTTCAATGAGGTCCCAGTTGCCTTCAAGGAAAATGAGGGTGGAGAAAACTGCGTGAAACATAGGAGGAGATTGCCTTATATCTCCTCTAGCATGACAAAGAATAAGTCAAGTCGCAGCTTTGACTCGGGAATTGCCTGTTTGCTGGCAAGTGGGTCCAGTTCTCCTTCCCCACCTTTAAACAACGATAGAGATGGAAAAAATGCCTACCCGCCTAACTCTCCGGTAAGATCTCCTGTTCCATCCAGATCTCCGGTGACACCGTCCAAACGTGCATCTTTCCATGCACTGTCAAGACCCACTCCAGGGAATCTGGTTCCAACCCCTGGTTCTCCTCGCTCTCCATACAAGCAATGTAAGCTTGGGTATCTCTCATCTAGAAGAATGTCAGAGCAAGCAGATAGACCTGTTTGCAATAATAACATAGGACGCACACTATCTCCTTGCAATACCTCTTTTAACAAGTCTCCATCTCCATCCTATAACTCGTCCAGCAAGTCATCTCCACAGCTGCATGGATCCCCTAAACTACTTCCATCATACTCCTTGCACTCCAATGAGAGCTCAGGAAGTCCGCCAAAAACCCCGGAAATATCATCTCCTCAGAGTCCAGCTCCTTCACCCCCGCTTGCCAGATTAAGTCGCAGGGTTCTTCCGGAAACACCTGGGGTAAAAAACACATTAGCTGTGAATTGTACAAAGACAAGACCGGTAAGAACTAGTCATCATCTTGTAGATAATCACAAGAAATATCATATATCCCTCTCCTCCCACACCTCACTGGACTCTGGCATGTACTCCAGAAGCAACACGTCGGACTCTGTCAACTGCTGCTCGAGGACCAACACATCCTCTCCGATCCTCTATTATTCCCCAACCTTTAGTCGACAATTAAATTGGAGGAAGTCGAATATTCTTGAAACATCGTCGAACTCTTCCCTCCCAGATACCAACGTCAACACTGTCCGGCGTCAAAGCTTGCCAGATAGCGAAAAGGCTTTGGTAGAGCACAAAGCTACCAAACAACTAGACAATCACAATAAGTATCAGAAGAGACCAAGACCAGAGAGAGCAAATACGTGCAATGACAATGATATAGGAACAGATTATATATTTAGGAGCAATATCAAAAAATTGATTATGAGACCCCTAGTATTGATTTTTAATCTAAATCAAAACAACTTTTGTCATGGCTGAATTGAAAAAAAAAACTTTCAAGAGCAGTTTGTTATTTTCCTTGTATAATGTATTGAATCTGTGAATACAGGATATATGAATGGGGGTACCCCAGAGGATCATAGTATATCTAATAATGGTTGGATGAAGGTAAGCGAGTTCAATTCTTTTTATACAGTGTGTCTTAATAAACATAATGATCCAGGGACTAATTAAAGATGCTTTTGAATTCAAAACCATTGACATAATGTACAGCTAGGTGAATAGGGACATAGACTAGAATTTGCCCAGGGGGGTTTAAATCATGTTTCTTCCATGGGGGATCAGCCAGCACCCATTTTACTGATCCAGTGTACGCCTCTGATATAGGTTTACATGCTATATTAGTCTTTAAATATATGGTCTAATATTTAACAAATTATATTGATAATTGACGCTAGAAAATTTTTGTTTTGTTTGAAAACCTAAAAACCCCTAAACGAAGTCTTTAATTTTTAATAATTTTGAAAGCACAAAAATACGCAGAATTCCGCAATATTTCTTCCGAAGACGACGCATAATTTTCAAAAAATTATTATGTTTAGTGGGACACACTGAATACAAAACCTTGTATCAATTTGAGTCCATAATATGTTTTTTCAAGAAAATTAGAGGAAAGAACCTTTTTCCCCATTATAGCCTTGGGTTTCTTTTACATTTTATTTCTCAAGCAGATTCCAGTTTATAGACTTTTGTATTTCCTTGAGTTTTTAATTTCATATTTGTGAGAAATACAATTTTTATCTTTAATTTATGAATGTCTGAGCTATTATTTTCTTTATCTATGTACTACTATTTTAAAATGTTTGTGTTTTTCCTTTATTATCTACGTTTTTATATATTTTTCTTTTATTTAATTTAATGTCTTTTTTCTTTTCTTTAATAATTTCTCTTTATTTTTTATTTAATTTTATATCGTTCTTTTTTTTATTTACTTATTTTTTTTTTTTAAATTACATTTTTTATCGTTCTTTTTATTCAATTTTATATCTTTTTTTCTCTAATTCAATTTTGTATTTTGATTTTGATTTGTTATTACCTTTTATGTCTTTTACTTTTATTTACTTTATTTTTTTATTTTTTTATAGTTTATATTTTATAATATTTTTTAATTAATTTGTTTATTTTTCTCATCGCTTGCGCAACTATCTAAGAATGCCGCACACCACTCACAATTTTCGAAATCCGTTGAAAACGTTTTCTAAGAAAATAAAATATTCTTGTAACAACCTCAAATTTTCTAATCCCTATCTTTTCAACCTAATAGTGTAAACCTTGGATATTTTAAACCTCAAAATATCCAAGGTCTCCGATATTGGGTTGCAAAGATATAGTTTAAAAACTACAATTTATGGCAAAAACTCATTTACTTACTTTTATTTAGATACTTTTAAAATGATTTTCTTTTTTCTTTAATCTTTAAATATTCCCAGGAGAACACTGATGTACCAAGACTGAAAGATTTAAAAAGTAACAGTTTTCCAAATCAGTGGGATACAGAGGAATGGGATCTTCAGGTAAATAAATAAGTATTATCTCTCTGATCAAGTAAAGATGTTTTTCAGGCTAATTATGCCAAAGCAATTATAAAAACCGGGACAAGTGAGGGAATTATTGTCATTACTTTTACAGGCATAGTACAGGATTATTAAATTTAAGTGGTTTAAGTAAAAATGTATACTTTATATTTAGAAATAAATAATGTGTGTACTCTAGGCTGAGATATATAAATAATTTGTGTACTCTAGGATGAGATAAATAAATAATATGTTTACTCTAGGGTGAGATAAAAATACAATATGTGTACTCTAGGATGATATAAATAAAATATGTGTACTCGAGGATGAGATAAATAAATAATAAGTGTACTCTAGAAGGAGATAAATAAATTATATGCGTACTCTAGAATGAGATAAATATAAAATATGTTTATTCTAGGGTGAGATAAATATACAATATGTGTACTCTAGGATGATATAAATAAAAATATGTGTACTCTAGTATGAGATAAATAAATAATAAGTGTACTCTAGGCTGATATAAATATATAATATGTGTACTCTAGGATGATATAAATAAATAATATGTGTACTCAAGGATGAGATAAATAAAAATATGTGTACTCTAGGATGAGATAAATATATAAATGTATACATATAAGATGAGATCAATGAATAAAAAAATAAATGTAGACTCTAGGATGAGATAAATGAATAACTGTATACTCTAAGATGAGATAAGTGAATAAATGAATACTCTAAGATGAGATAAATGAATAAATGAATAACTGTAGACTCTAGGATGAGATAAATGAATAACTGTATACTCTAGGATGAGATAAATGAATAACTGTATACTCTTGGATGAGATAAATGAATAAATGTATACTCTAGGATGAGATAAATGAATAACTGTATACTCTAAGACGAGATAAATGAATAAATGAATTAATGTAGACTGTAGGATGAGATAAATGAATAACTGTATACTATAAGANAGATAGATATGTGTACTCTAGGATGAGATAAATGAATAAATGTGTACTCTAGGATGAGATAAATGAAAAAGCCGAGGAAAGAAGAAAACGATGGATTCAACATAAATCATTTAATTCAACTTCCAGGTAGATAGATAGATAGATAGATAGATAGATAGATAGATAGATAGATAGATAGATAGATAGATAGATAGATGTATTGATAGAAAGATAGAAAGATAAATAGATAGATATATAGATAGATAGAGATAGGATACAAGAATATAATGCAACCTTGGAAGGATAGATGGATAGATTGATAAGTAGAGAGATAGATAGATAGAGATAGATAATTACAAAAGAAATCTGATTTTATGATATAAGTTAACAAATATCCGGTTCTGAGCTGCGACCAGCCGGAAATAGAAAATGGATTGACCTGAGAGATTTGTTGTCTGACTTTGACCTGACCGAGTTATATAAAGCTAGAAAAGAGATTTTTATAAAGAAAAGAACATTGTCGTGTACGGGGGGGGCTATCGGGGTTCTGCCCCCTCCCATAGATTTATGAAAGCTATGGTTTCCAGGTTGCTAAGCCCACCTAGACAGATTGTAAGCCCCCCCTTGGACAAATTGAAAATGAAATTGAAATTTTTTTTTAAAAAACAAGTAAAACAAAAAGAATAGCGAGAGAATAGAAGAGAATTAAAAGATTTGAGTTTTGCCACAAACTGAAATTTGTAATCCCTAAATCTTTAAAATATATATAACGTAAACCTTTGATATTTCAAACTTCTAACATCAGAATGCATAGTTTGACATATCAAATGGCTTACGACATTGGATCGCAAAGATATAGAGATTAAAAAATCAAAGTTTGTTGCTAAGACTCAATTATATCTTTTAATCAGTGGCTGAAAAAAGGAATTAAAGTTAAAGAGAAACCAAACATAACGAAAGAATAAATAAAACAAAAATAAAAATGAAAAATATGTTTTTAACAACTGCAGAATAGGGTGTAAAGTAAGGATATGTGTACAGTATAGAGAAAAGAAAGCATTTTGGCAAGGACATCTGAAATATGAAAGCGCTGAGTAGAAAGATTAGTTAACTACTAGTCAATAAACTCAAACCTTAACCTTAAACTATTACGCCACAATTACACGTGATTTAGTTACAATAAGCAACAACCATGAAACAGAAGTGAACACTGAAAAAATCGAAAATACGAAAAAAAAACTAGATATAAAACATCAAAAAACCTTCTCAACACGCTGCAACTTTGGAGAATGCTGAAAATTCTGGTTGAATACATCCTAAATACAAGAATGGAAGAGGTCTTTAAAAATGCGCAAGAACATAAAATCTTGTAGCTTTTAGGTTTCTAGATTCATGGAAACGGAAAAGTTTCAGTTCTTCCAGGTTAAATACTGTTCAGATTAAAAAATTCGAAATTAACGATTTTTGTTAGAATTATTAAGAACGACACGGAAAATCATCAATAAGGTTTGAAAATGAATTGAACTCAAATTGAATTGACACTTTTTACGAAATTGTATCAAAAATTATACTTTGCTTGAAGATATTCATAAACGGCACATTTGCAAAAAAAAACAATATATTATATACTAGCTGAAGGGTCAAGAAAATAATATATTATATACTAGCTGAAGGGTCAAGAAAATAATATATTATATACATTATATACTAGCTGAAGGGTCAAGAAAACAATATATTATATACTAGCTGAAGGGTCAAGAAAAAGGTCAAGTTTATGCGAAATTACTTGTACAATTTTGTAACATCATTCATCTCAATGTTTAATTTCACAACCAAGAAGAAGAAAAGCAAATCTGATGGTTGCATACGAGAAATGCAAAGCTTTTTTCTCATTGGCTTTTCGAAAACGAGTTAAAGTTTATCATCATAACAGAGATCGAAGACGACAATTTTCCTGCCTTTTTTGTATTTACTCTAACTGTTGAGGTTATTACAGAGTTCTGAACTAATTAAATTCAGACATGTTTAATTTCAGAGAGTTTGAAAACTTTTGTTGCAATAGATAATATGGCAAACTGAATTAAATATTTTAATTCTTCTCTTTCCAGCTTAACGATCAAAGTTGCCAAACAGTTTTTATTCTTGGTTTAAGTTTTCCGCAGTATCTACACAAACATTTTAATATTAATTGAGATGAATTTTTAAATTTAACTTTTCAATATTCAACGGAATAGAGCTGTCATTGATTACATGTTCATGTCACATGGGTTTTGGAGAAACCATAGATAGAGATTTTAAAAAGATAGAATATGGGGGGGGGGTAGAAATTATGATTTAGTAAAAGAAATAAATGTTGCCACAAGCTAATTTTCTAATCCCTTTTCCTTTGCAACCTGATGGTGCAAACCTTTAATATTAAAAACATTAATTGTTTGATCTACCGGCATTTATAGTTTGAAACATAAAAGGTTTGAACCATCAAGCTTCAAAAATATAGGGATTGTGAAATTGGAATTTGTGGCGAGTGTTTATTTACTATTTTATATCATTTAAAAAAGATCCAAGAACATTTCTTAAAATCAATCTACAAGAAAAAATTGTTTGTTTTTTCATGACATAGTCAAACATGGTGTATATACAAAAGAAGTTTGAATCCCCCCCTCTCCTCTCTTGTCAATTACGCAAACTGATCATCTTTTCAAAAATCCGTCACAGCTCGCTATAGTTTAAACAACGTAACAAGGAACAGACTGAATAGAAAAATTCACGGAATTTCTCTTTTGTTAAATTCTCCTGAATATTCGCGAGTTTTATTTCCTTATTCAAGCACAAAATATTCTTCTAATTCTATTTTAAAGCCTTGAAAAATCTGTTTGCTCTGACACATGGCCAATTTGAACTTTAAAGTATGGAAAACATGTGCTCAGCTTGAAAGCTTGCCCTCATCTCGTGTAACCCGTCCCAACCTCTTTCAAGTGAATCTCCATTTATCTGTCCAAGAAAGCATGAGATATTCATAATTTTCCCCTTGAAAAATTAATTTTAAAATTGTACTTGCTCAAAAATGCTTTAAAAACAATGGCGAAAACTAATGGATCTAAGCACTTGAAAGATAGAAAAATAAATTAATCATTGTTACTCATACAGAAATTAAAAGTGTATTCGTTGTAATTTGAAATCGGAAATGTTACTTGAAATTATGTCTACAGTCCCTTTAACTTAAAATTACGACTACAGTCCCTTTAACTTGTAATTACGTCTACAGTCCCTTTAACTTGTAATTACGTCTACAGTCCCTTTAACTTGTAATTACGTCTACAGTCCCTTTAACTTGAAATTTCGACTACAGCCCCAGCCCCTTTAACTTGAAATAACGTCAACAGCATTAACTTGAAATTATGTCTACAGTCCCTTTAACTTGAAATAACGCCTACAGTCCCTTTAACTTGAAATAACGTCTACAGTCCATTTAACTTGTAATTACGTCTACAGTCCCTTTAGCTTGAAATTATGCCTACAGCCCCTTTAACTTGAAATTATGTCTACTGTCCCTGTGTCCCTGTAACTGAAAAGCTAACCCTGATCCTGTTCTAACCCCAACCCAACCTTCCTGAGAAAAATCCCAAGAATCCCAAACAAAAAGAATTTCAAGACCTAAATAATGCAATTGATTAAAACAAGTAATGCCCCAGAATTGACATTTTAAGATTTGAAGTTATGAAAGCTCTCATTCTTTCCATTACAGTTTACATAAGATCTTTGTTTCATAACCGGGTTGAATACAGCTTGAATTATCATATAAAAGTTATTTAAACTTCNGTAATAATAATGATAATAATATTAAAAATGATAATATATCTTTTAAATAAAGAAAATATAAACCTGTTTTGCCCTACAAGGTGGTCCATTAACATTACTGCAGCAAGAAGGAAATTTTCAAAGAAGGTGAATTTTAAACATAAAATTTTTTTCCAATCTCCGATTAATTTTTCATTCAAATCTGAGAGGGTAGAAAATAAAACTTAAAGAGGCTGTAAGCGTAATTTCAAATGACCCTCCATGCAAAGATGGCACTACCTGATTTACAACGGTACCCTTACATGAGCAAGTCACTTTAGCAGAGAACCCGCAAATAAAAATAAACAGTTTAAAAAAAAACATTGATATCTAATTCATACTTGTACCGTTGTAAATCGGATCTCTTTGCATGAAGGTTCACTTGAAATTTAGCGTACAGGTTCTTTAATGCTGATTTTGCCAACTAACAAAGAAACATGCATCGTTTGGTCACAAAGTTTGAGACTTCGAAGACGACTGTACTTTACTTACAGTTTTACTTTTAAAATTCCTGGTTTCCTACAGCTGTTCTGTACCAAGATATATATCATCATCATTCACAAATTTATTTTCAATGTGGAATTAATTGCAATAAAAATTTCAGACTTTGTGGTTAAAGAGTTAAAACCTTGATATCTTGAGCTTATTATTAATTTTTGTACAGTGAAACCCTTAATAACGAATACATCGAAAGAATTCATCAAATGTCGTATTCTTTACTTTCTGATAATGGAATGTTGCAGATATTTAGTTTTTTAATTAAATTATTATATGGAACTCTTTAAAACTGTTCCCGCATATTCATGGCTATTTATTTTTTTTCGCAAATACTGAAATTTACGTAATATATTATAAAACTCATTGAAAAATTGTCAAGACGACATTTGATAAATTCTTCCGATGTATTCGTTATTAAGGGTTTCACTGTAAAAAATTACCCGAACAAATTTTCAACTTTTAATAGTCAAATTTTCTTAGATAAAAAAGACATTGTATTAGAAAAATACAAAAAATTAGTGATATGATATGATATGATATTATATGATATGATATGATATGATATGATATGATATGATATGATATGTTATGATATGATATGATATGATATGATATGATACGATATGATATGATATGATATGATATGATAAGATTGTTGAATATTTTGCAAAGTGTCTTTGATTATATAGACATATATTATAGATCGAACTAACTCTGTATTTTTGCACACTCTATGTCCGGTCCAATCTCAATACAATCTCACAAAACCTGTAGGGAGGGGTGGGGCTGGGGGGGCAGTTTATGGTTTTTATAGATTCAACATTTTGACAGTCATCGCTTAGTGGGCAGATTTCGAACAATAAAAACAATTTTCCTTGATCATCTCGTTTCACTAAAAATGTTTTTATATTAATTTCAAATGTCTAATGACTCCAAAACTTCCAATATATCGTCAAAAATAAATGTTTAATTGATTTTACAATAATTATAAATAAATGATAAGGAATGATGAAAGTACAGCAGGATCTTCAAAACAGTCTCGACAACCAAGAAATGAATCAAGATCGTCATCAAACTCTGATTATGAGCGCAGTGCTCTGGTATCAGCTTGGTCAGATGAAGATGACTCTGAGAACTCCGATGACTCTGAAGAGTCTGAAGTATCGGATGAGTCAGAGGTTGATTCTAAAGAGTCAGGTCGGGATGAGAGTTCCTCAGCTGATGAGCACTGCAATGGTCATATTGCTCTTATCTCCAGGAAGAGATATAATCAGACTCAAACATCACTCCAGCAACCTTCACAGGAATCAATAATACTCTTAGATCACAGTGAATCAGATACAATTTTAGCTCAAAGTAAATCAAATGAAATCTTAAATCACAGTGAATCAAATATAATCTTAGATCACAGTGAATCAAATATAATTTTAGATCACAGTGAATCAAATATAATCTTAGATCACAGTGAATCAAACATAATTTTAGATCACAGTGAATCAAATATAATCTTAGATCACAATGAATCAAATATAGTCTTAGATCACAGTGAATCAAATATAATCTTAGATCACAGTGAATCAAATATAATCCTAAATCACATTAAATCAGATATAATCATAGGTCATAGTGAAAACGAACTGACTCCCACATCTAATATTTCAAACTTCACACTGGCATTTGAAAAATCAACGTTATCATCAGAAATCAATGAAATCAATGAAATTAATGAAATCAATGAAATCAATGAAATCAATGAAATCAATGTAGCTGATGACTCATTTTTGCCTTTGACCTCACTTAAACATGACATTTTTCCTATCTGTGATCAACCTGAGACATGTTCAGCATCTGATCAACCTAGCCTCAGTGTGGCTTCTGATCAACCTTGCATTATCTTGGTCTTTGATCAATCTGAAAGCAGTGAAGCCTCTGATAAACCTTGCATTGGCTTGGCCTCTGAACAACCTGACAGCACCTTGGCCTCTGATCAACCTGATCGCAGCTTGGCCTCTGATCAACCTTGCATTAGCTTGACCTCTGATCAACCTAGCATTGGTTTGGCCTTTGAACAACCTATCAATAGTATGGCCTCTGAACAACCTAGCAACAGTTTGACCTCTGATCAACATCGCACGGCCTTGACCTCTGATCAACTTGAACAATCTAACAAGAGTTCAGGCTCTTCAGAACCAAATATCAGTTCAGCTTCTTATCAGCCCAACATTAACTGTTTACTGGACCAATCTAATACTATAAGTGATGTAGGTTCTGATCAAGCTAATGAAGAACAACCCCAGAATGAGCAAAAACAGACTCCAGTCTTTCAAAAAACTATAACTACTGAAGAAACACTTGAGGAAGCATCTGAATCTCGCAACCTAGGCTCAGACTACAAAGTAGCCTTTGATTTCTATAAACCAAATTTGATTTACGAGGAAACCAGTTCTATTACAGATAATGAAAACAAACCCATTACTTACTCTGAGACTGAATCTGTCTCTCATGACATTATTGAAAATATCGATGTCTCAGAGGTAAACTCTGTTAACAACAGTCTAAGACCTGGTATTGATGATGAATCTTATCTCACTTCAGTCTCTGAAGAACACACAAATCCTATTGATGAACTAAATCTGAACGAATTAAATGTTGAGAATAACTTAAGTAAAGCAGAGAATAAAACTTCATTAAGTAATAAAGGAAAACATAATGACACTAATAAAGATAATGAATTAAAGGAGAACTGTAGTTTCATTGAAGCAATGGAAATTTTGAATTGCCAAAATCAGCTTTTGCGTAATCAAGAAGAAAATGATCCTAAAGAATATAATGATTGTCAATTTGCAATCGAATGTAGTAAACAACTAAATGATAATATTAATCAGATTAGAGACAAAAGAGAAGCAGCTGATCATGATGCACAAGGCAAACATGAGAATAATGAACTCAGAGTTGAAAGTGATCTTACCATTCACAACTTTATAGATATAATACATTATGGCACAGAACCAACAGAGCATGAAAACGTTCAGGATGTTCTAAAAACAAATCATCTGGATTCTGTAATAAATTTCTCTTCTGCCCAAGGTGATCAATACACAAATCAAACGGAAGTTTCTCAAGAATTTAAAGAAAATGAACTTATAAAATCTGTGCTTGATCTTAGCAAAGCTGATATCCTTCTTCGTAAAACTGGTCTTGAAATAGCTGATCTCTCTGAGTCTGATATCATTTTGGATATGGACACAGTGATATCCCGAGAGAGAAAATATGATTCAAATAATGATCTACATTTGCATAATGTAAATGACCCCATTGAAATAAAAGATGATGCTGGAAATCAAAATAAATATTCGGAATATCAAAGTGAAACTTTTAAGAATCAAAGTGAGATAGAACTGAATCAAAGTGACCCTATAAATATCATTGATAAAACTACAGATCAGATTGTGACAAATGAAAACAAACTTCAAGAAACAAATTTAGAAAATCAAGCAATAGTAGAAAATAAACATGATCAAGAGCAAAAAGAACATTGTCAAGATCATAGCGAACTAAATCAAAAAAAAAGTTCGGTAAATCAAGTCAATTCTGCACATAGTCATGAGCTTAAAGATCCTGTGGAAAATCAAGCAACAAGCAAAAAAAATTGCTCTGCTGCAAATTCTTGTAATAATCAGGATGAAATTACTTGTGACAAATCTAAAGTTGACACCAATAATCCTGAAATAGCTGATGAACCTGACATAGGTTCTGATGATGAAGGTTCAGAATTCTCAGTATCTGATCTATCCTGGTATAAAGAATATTTGGGTCCAGTATTCAGGTAATACTCAAGCTTCGGGAAGTACTTAGGACTAATAGAAGGTAGAGAGCTAAATATATATAAAAGAGAAGGATACAGAGTAGACCGCAGGATCAAGTATAGAAAAAATCATGCATGAAGTAAGAAGAGAAAATAAATAAGTAAAAAAGAGAAAGGAGTAGAAAGCAAGATAATTAGATAAAGCAAATATATCAGGATTCAGGAAGGAAATGAAGAGAAAGAGGAGATATTGGAGAAGAGAAAGTAGGGAATAATAAAAGACCAAGATTTAATTAAAAGAAGCAGATAAAAATAGCATTTTGGTCAGTAAAGTATATATATTGCATTGCCCCACTAGGAAAATATTAAGCTTTTTTCTTTCAATTCCTAGTAAAATGGTATTAGATCAAATTCTCATAAATTGAATCATTGCATTAGTAAAATTTAACCACTTTTATTTTTTGTTATAACCCCTAAACGCTTTTTTTCTTCCAACGTTTTTGCAGCCCTCAATCTTTCTAAATTTCCCAACCTCCTGCAAAGAAATATCGTGGAAACCCCACCCCCCTTCCTGCTTCATATCCTACCTTTCTTTTTGCCTTTCCTGTTAATAGTTTGGTTCACGACGTTTTTACATTAGAATCCGGAGTTTTTGCATTATTATTCGACCTTGCAAAATCCTTGGTTTAACCAGACACAAAAACTCTCTCTCTCTCTCTCTCTAGTTTGAAAAGAAAGCTAAGGAATATTGTTTACTTTTTCTAAACCATATTTATTCTCTTTATTTCTTCCTCCCGGCACTAAACTTTTCAAACAGTTTTCATAAAGTTTGCAATTCTTCCAAAAACAACATTTTTAAGAATTTAAAATATTTAAGTTTGGGACTTTATGAAATATTTACGTCCAGCCATACATAGTGATATTTTGTATTTTTTGTTAGAATTCTTCATCATTACTCTTTTATTAAAGGGACTGTAAGCGTAATTTCAAGTGACACTAATTAACAATGGTATCCTTGAACGCTTTGTCTAGTAAAGTTTGAATCCATGTTTGCCCAGAGAATCTCTTGAAATTACTCTTACAGTCCCTTTAATTTATAATATCAAAACCAGTTCTGGGAGATTTTATCGTCATATTATCTTTTTAAAAAATACATCACTAAAGGCGTTATTTTACAAAATTAGTTAAATGAAAACTTGTTTTTAGAAGCGAGAGAGGGAGAAGACCAGACGAGGATGGAGAGGATGAGGACAGAGGCCGGAGGCTGGAGGACGATCAGGACGAGGATGAAAGAGGTCGCCGACTTGATGACGACGAGGACGACGATGTTGCCGGTCTCCAGTCCGACGATGACGAACAAGAGGCCCTGGCCGATTATGTAAAAGGTTGATTTTTCGATATTGTCTATTTTCTTCCTCTTTTAATTTTTGATATCTCCAGATATAGAACTAGAAACATTTAGAAAACTTCTCAAACAAGAAATAAGAAAAGATAATTAATTTTAAAATATTCCAGCTTTCAAATTCGAATTCTTCCAAGAAATCAAATTTTAAACAACTGATTTCCATTTCCCGCATTTTTTACAGCCAGGAAATAAAATGGCCTCCAAATATAAAGTTGTTAAAAAGAAATTATATTCCGGTTTTAAACTTTAATTCTGCTAGGTAATACAATAAATTACGATTTTAAGGGGCTGGCAATAGCTTCAAACAATTAGAACGGCCTCTATAAAATAATACAATAAAGTAATTAAAGAGAACCAGACTAATAATGTTTGTTGTGAAAAAGCCGGCTTATTGCGTCCTGAAAAATATAAGATCTCTGAAAGATCGTCTTTGGTTTTGAACAGTTTATATAGAAAAAAACAAATGAGTATCAAAAAAGATTTACTTTAATTTATAGCCTTCAAAATGTTGTGAGAAGAAATTCCAGGCATCCATCTTGGATGCAATACTTCCTAGGCATCCATCTTGGATGCAATACTTCCGAGGCATCCATCTTGGATTCAATACTTTCCTGGAATCCATCTTGGATTCAATACTTCCCTGGAATCCATCTTGGACTCAATACTTCCCTGGTATCTATCTTGGATTCAATACTTCCCTGGTATCCATGTGGCAAATATCGTAGCAACCCTTATATTTGTTAACCTGAGCATACCTTGATATATTAAACAGAAGCTTCGTAAAATGATTGAAACATGCATTGTGATAGATTTAACATCGATTATATCTGTCCATGTTAATCCTTTTAACCCTATTCAACCCCAGCATATCCTCGTTTTCAAGTACCCCAGCAGAGATAGGGTTAATACGTATATTCAACTTAAACTACGCTGTAAACCTGTGTGGAGATAGATCATACACTGTTCTAACAAACACGTTGAAGATCGTCCCCTTCAATTTGGGATCGATAAATAAGAGCTTGTTTGAGAGCTACGCATGTGTCACTGTGTGGCATTTAGAGCCTGGATTAATAGCTTGTTTGAGAGCTACGCTTGTGTTCCTGTGTGGCATTTAGAGCCTGGATTAATAGCTTGTCTGAGAGCTACGCTTGTGTTCCTTTGTGGCATTTAGAGCCTGGATTAATAGCTTGTTTGAGAGCTATGCTTGTGTTCCTTTGTGGCATTTAGAGATCGATCAATAGCTTGTTTGATAGCTACCGTGATCACGCACAGTGTTAGTGGCGTTTATAGTTCACGCAAATGTAACCATGGTGGATCGTTTCCGGGTTTAAACATTGATAGATATGTGAAACTAAACTGTACCTGGATAGATACGTGTTAGAGAAACCATTCTGGAGTAAGGTATTTACTACATCCATCTTGGATTCAATACTTCTCTGGCATCCATCTTGGATTCAATACTTCCCAGGCATCCATCTTAGATTCAATACTTCCCTGGCATCCATATTATATTCAATACTTCCCAGGCATCCATCTTAGATTCAATACTTCCCAGGCATCCATCTTGGATTCAATACTTCCCTGGCATCCATCTTGGATTCAATACTTGTCTGATTCAATTCTTCCCTGGCATCCATCATTTATATTGTTTGTATCCAAAGAAAAAATAGAAAAATAGATTTAGTCTGTTTTTCTATAAATAATATATTACAACTTGTCAGAAGTTGGAAATGCACAAGAAAAAACAATTGCGAAGTATATATATGTATAGATGTATGTATTATTGAGTACTATAAAGTATATATATATAGAGATGTATGTATTATTGAGTACTATAAAGTTTCTTTAGATCACTAGCGGTGTATTATCAAAGGCAATATCTCTACAAGTTCTCCTAATGCAATTTGTTGGTTAACAGAATTCAGCAAATTAAGAAATCAAGAAAATGAAAACTCAGTGGTTCACGATTCATTATATCTACATACAGGGTTACCCACAAAAGATGAGACTTCAACCACGATTGTAACTATTGTAGCTCAAATTTAGACTAAAGAATACTATTGTAACTCAGATTTAGACTAAAGAATACTATTGTAACTCAGACTTAGATTAAGGAATACTATTGTAACTCAGATTTAGACTAAAGAATACCATTGTAGCTCAGATTTTACGAAATTTATCTGTATTTATATTCAGGAATCCCTGCAACTGTAAACTACTTTGTTTTTTTGCAAAATCATAAAATAAACCATTAGATTACTATCTCTAGGGAAAAATACACAATTTAACCTTGGTTTTGTCTTATTTGAAGACTTTTTAGTCGTCTTTACAGTCTCATCCTTTGTGGGTTACTATGTATTATATAGAAATATTTTTATAAATCGACAAAATATATTTTTTTTATTTCTGCTTTTTTATCCTCCGAGTTCTAACATTTATTCTTTATCTAGTTCTTTACTAAAGAACATATAATTTCAAGATACCCTCAATTTATTAAGTGGTAATTCCGATTTACTACGATACTCTTAAAAGCTTTGTTAGACCAAAAAAAGTAGAGATGTCTCTTCAAAAACCTATTTTCTTTTCAATTATGAATTCTTTAAAGAGTTACTTGCTAAATCATTAATTAAAGATTGTCCTAATTAAACAGTTTTCAACGACGATGTTTTTCCCATTATTGATCAAATAATGGTTAAACGGTAACCGTTGTAAATTGGACAGTGCACTCTAGAAATGGATTATTTATTTTTTCTAGGTGGATATCACCCTGTAAACATAGGAGACCAGTTCGAGTCTAGATATCAGGCAAAAACTTTATAAAATATTTTTTAAACTTTTGACCTTTTGCCTCACACTCTAATTATATAACCCTTATATTTTTGCAACCTGATGCCGTAAATCTTTGATATTTCGAAAAAATTCTTATTGCCAAAATTTTACATCGTCTAGATGCAAAGATATAGAGATTGGACATTTAGAGTTCAGGAAAATATTTAGTTCAATATTGTTTCCTGCATTTTTAACAAAGAAATTGAGTTTTCGCCACAAACTCTGTTTTGCTAATCTGTATCTTTGCAACCCGATGTTGTAGACATTTTATATTTCAAACTTTGATTTCTGTCAGATCAAATAATCTAAGTTTGAAATATAAAAGGTTTACATCTTCAGATTGCAAAAATATAGAGATTGGAGAATTGCTAAGACTCAATATATTTAGGTTATCCGTAAACTTGGTTGGGGACATTTCTCTACAGTTTGGTTAGCCTGGGATACCAGGTATACAGGGGGATCAAGAATAGAGTTTTAAAGTTTTATAAAGATATCCGAATAATAGAGATTAATAGAATAGAACAACACTATAAAGCAGAATAGAACAGAATATAATAAAATAGAAAACAATAGAACAGAATATAATAAAATAGAAAACAATAGAACATAGAATATAATAAAATAGAAAACAATAGAACACAATATAATAAAATAGAAAACAATAGACCACAATATAATAAAATACAAAACAATGGAACAGAATATAATAAAATAGAAAACAATAGAACACAATATAATAAAATACAAAACAATAGAACACAATATAATAAAATAGAAATCAATAGAACAGAATATAATAAAGTAGACAACAATAGAACAGAATATAATAAAATAGAAAACAATAGAACAGAAAAGAACAGAATGTAAACAGACACTAACAGATTAAAAAAATAGGACAGAATAGAACAAAATATAAAAGAACAGAATAAAAAATAGAAAATTTTATTGTATTTTATTGATTAGCTTGGGATACCAGGTAAGCAGGGAGATCAAAAAAACAGGAGACACAATATTTTTTTTGATTTTATATAATAGACCTATAATTTATTGTATTGTATTGTATTGAATTGAATTGAATTGTATTGAATTGTATATTGTATTGAATTGTATTGTATTGTATAGTATTGTATTGTATTGTATTGTATTGTATTGTATTGTATTGTATTGTATTGTATTGTATTGTATTGTATTGTATTGTATTGTATTGTATTGCAGGGGACAAAGGTTTGTTGCCCTGAAAGTTGTGAAAAGTGCCACACACTATACGGAGACTGCACTTGATGAAATTAAACTCCTCAAATGTGTAAGTCATAGATTATATACATATACAGAGTTAAAGTTCAGTTTGCATTTTTAAACAATTTAAATGATTGAGAAAAATAAATAGAAAAGGCCACATTCAAACGTACACTTGGAAAATTGTTCCCTCAGGAAAGCGTAAACTTGGGAAAATGTTCCATCAGGAAAGCGCATACTTGGGAAAATGTTTCCTCAAGAAAACGTAAACTTGGGAAAATGTTCCATCGGGAAAGCGTAACCTTGGGGAAATGTTTCCTCAAGAAAACGTAAACTTGGGAAAATGTTCCATTAGGAAAACGTACACTTGGAAGAATGTTCCCTCTGGAAAGAGTAAACTTGGGAAAATGTTCCCTCAGGAAAGCGTACACTTGGGAAAATGTTCCCTTAGGAAAGCGTAAACTTGGGAAAAATGTTCCCTCAGGAAAACGTACACTTGGGAAAATGTTCCCTCAGGAAAGCGTAAACTTGAGAAAATGATCCCTCAGGAAAGCGTAAACTTGGGAAAATGTTCCCTTTAGGAAAGCGTAAACTTGGGAAAACGTTCCCTCAGGAAAGCGTAAACTTGGAAAAATGTTCCCTTAGGAAAGCGCATACTTGGGAAAATGTTTCCTCAAGAAAACGTAAACTTGGGAAAATGTTTCATCAGGAAAGCGTAAACTTGGGAAAATGTTCCCTCAGGAAAACGTACACTTGGAAAAATGTTCCCTCAGGAAAACTTACACTTGGAAAAATGTTCCCTCAGGAAATCGTAAACTTGGAAAAATGTTCCCTAAGGAAAGCGTATACTTGAGAAAATGTTTCCTCATGAAAACGTAAACTTGGGAAAATGTTCCATCAGGAAAACGTACACTTGGTAAATGTTCACATTCACTCTATAAACTTGAATCCTCTATGGCTAACGTGCAATTGTTAAACTGCATAATTATGTAAATTGCACAATAGAAATAAATGGTTTAATTTTTCAAATGCATTCATGCAATATAAATGTGTATTAAAATAATTATATAAATCCAAAATATCTATTCTGCAATTCTGAAAAAGTTTAAATATTTTGAGTTCTTTTGAGATTGCTACGGTAAGAAAAAACGAATTAAAGGGGGGCTTTGTTTATTATACAAATATTTTAGAAAAAGATAAGATCCTGATTTTTTTGTCATTTTTCATTGGCCAATGGTCGGTTAAACGCTTAATAATTTAGTTTTTTTAATTTAATTTTAATTTAACAAAGTGTACAATTTTCAAACTATTTCAGGTTAGAACCTCGGACGAAAAAGACGTTTTCCGGGAACGAACCGTCCAACTGTTGGACGATTTTAAGATTGTTGGGGTGAATGGAACCCATGTTTGCATGGTCTTTGAGGTAAAGTCTTTTCCTACCAATTCTAAATAAAACTATTTTATATTTATTTATATTTTTGAAATTATAAAGTAAAGATGCTTTTTACAGAAAGGTCGAGGTCGAGGTTATAAATTATAAATACATTTTAAAAAATAGAACTAAAATAAATAAAATACAATAAGTTAACATTCGCGCTGAAATATCAAAAGTAAACAAAACAGAAAAGATATGAATATTAAATTTGTTTTTAAATAAAACGCTGTAAATAATGATTTATTTGTTGGCAATTACGAAACAAGAAAAGAGATTGAAATTTTTATGTTTTCAATCATAACTCTTCTCATTGTAAAGCTTCTGGAATGAAAAAAGAGTTTGGAATTGAAATGGAACAAGATAAATTTGCTTTTCTGATACTCGTATATGAAATCCAAGAAGCTACAAGATAACAAAGTCATACCGGTAATCTGGATGGTTTTCCTTTTTTTGCTGTCAAGCAAATATTCGAACCTTAACCTTATTCCCGCTGGGGGGGGGGTCAATTTGACCCCCCCTGTAGTTTTTTTTACATAACTCAAAAAGTATTGGTCTGAGGCTGTTGAAATTTTCTGACTTTTCTTACATACCCAAAGCCCTCCCTTTAGGCCTAAAACCGGGCTTTAATACTAACTGCCTGAGTCCTCAGGCACACTGCCTGAATGACTGCTTTTGCCTGTAACAAACTAAATCTTTGTTTTGACCCACTTTCACTTATCAGATTTTGATAAAATTTAGCTTTTTGGAAAGCCTATGACATAAGGAAACGGATTGCACAAGTTTTGCGAGAAAAAAAATTGCAAATTTTTTGCAAACAACCTGTCAAAGGAAATTTGCACATTTTTAGTTTTTCTTGATTAAAAATCAGGTTATTTAAAATTTTGCAAAATTTTTTGCATATTTGAAATGGCATGGTCAAGGGCTTTTCAAAAATGTATAATTTGTCATTTTTTGGACAAATTTTTTTTTGCAAACATTTTTACTATAAAACTGGATTTTGCGATAAAAAATTCAATTTTCGCAAATTTGCAAATTTTTTTGCAGATTCTAAAAGTAGAGCACAAGAGCTTTCTAATGATGTATCATTTGTCATATTTGGACATAAAACATGGGAAGCGTATCCTGGTTTTCAAGTACCCCAGCAGGGATAGGGTTAAGCCCTTTACGATTCTTTAGCAAAAATAAAATCTCTAACTTATTATTGTAACAAGAAGAAGATGATTCATTTAATGTACCATCCCGTTTAGCCGTCATATACAGTGGTAGGTGATCATATCAATACAATGAAGACGACTTTCGATTTTAATTTTGAGTTAAATCAAGCTGCTAAACAGCATGGATACATATAAACATAGAAGTCAATAGAAGATATCAATTAAGAAGCTTTTATTTTTATTTATAAACTTGTAATTAGAATAAAGCTTGTTAAAAATCAAAACTTAAATTTAAAAGTCGTCTTCATTACATTGTTATAATCGCCTAACACTGTAGTACATGTGTATTGTGTATACTATACAACTTGCTATAGATGCTTAAAAATCGGGCCTGTTCTTTTCAGGAACCAAAGTTGTTAATGTTTCAATAAATAATTTTTTAAAATTGGATTTAATGTTTGTTAATTTCAGGTTTTAGGGCACAATCTTCTGAAGTTTATAATACGAAGCGAATACCAGGGAATTCATCTCTATAATGTTAAACTCATCATGAAACAGGTCAATCAATATTATTCATATTTAAAGGGATCGTTCGCATAGTTTCAAATAGTTCTTCATGGAATGAGTTAAATTTACTATTTGAACGACGCCCCTTTACCAATGCCTAGAATACACTATCCCTAGTTCGTAATGCCTAGATAACAATATGCCTAGTTCGTAATGCCTCTTGATAACACTTTGCCTAGTTTGTAATGCCTATATAACATTATGTCTAGTTCGTCAGCCTAGATAACACTATGCCTAGTTTGGCATGCCTAGATAACACTATGCCTAGTTTGTCATGCCTAGAGAACACTATGCCTAGTTTGTCATGCCTAGATAACACTATGCCTAGTTTGTCATGCCTAGATATCAATATGCCTAGTTCGTCATGCTTAGATAACACTTTGCTTAGTTCATCATGCCTAGATAACACTATACCTAGTTCGTCAGCCCAGATAACATTATGCCTAGTTCGTCATGCTTAGATAACACTATGCCTAGATCATCATTCCTAGATAACACTATGCCTAGTTCGTAATGCTTGATAAAACTTTGCCTAGTTAGTCATGCCTAGATAACACTATGCCTAGTTCGTAATGCCTGATAACACTTTGCCTAGTTCATAATGTCTGATAACAATTTGCCTCGTTCGTGAATGACTAGTTCGTGAATGCCTAGTTCACTATGCCTATTTCGTTATGCCTGGTAACACTATGCCTAGTTCGTAACGCCTAGATAACACTATGCCTAGTTCGTAACGTCTAGTTAACATTATGCCATGATTCATGAATCATGATTGCCTACATTCATGATTGCCTAGATTCCTGAATGCCTAGATTTATAATTGCCTAGATTCATGATTGCCTAGATTAATGAATATCTAGATTCATGAATACCTAGATTCTTGAATACCTAGATTCATAATTGCCTAGATCCATGATTGCCTAGATTCATGATTGCCTAGATTAATGAATACCTAGATTCCTGAATACCTAGATTCATGAAGTTGTGTTTTACTTGACTTGGATTTAAAGATATATACTTTTGAAAAAGATAACTTTGCAGGATTGTTTGTTAGTTCTGAAACTAATGTCCTTTATGTTTATGTCTAGATGAAATACATTTTCCTGGTACTCAAGACACTTTTATGTTATCTAGGCATAATGTTATCTAGACATTCACGAATCTAGGTATTGTGTTATCTTGTCATTATGAACCTATAGGCGTTAAGAAATATAGGCACACTGTTAGCTAGGCATTCAGAAATGTAGGTATAATGTTGTCTAGGCATTCATCATCCGTATAATAAATATACTTGTATAGGGACTAGAGGGGTTACTGTATCTACATGATAAATATAAGATAATCCGTATAATAAATATACTTGTATAGGTACTAGAGGGGTTACTGTATCTACATGATAAATATAAGATAATCTATATAATATATATACTTGTATAGGTACTAGAGGGGTTACTGTATCTACATGATAAATATAAGATAATTTATATAATATATATACTTGTATAGGTACTAGAGGGGTTACTTACTGTATTTACATGATAAATATAAGATAATCTATATAATATATATACTTGTATAGGTACTAGAGGGGTTACTGTACTACATGATAAATATAAGATAATCTATATAATATATATACTTGTATAGGTACTAGAGGGGTTACTGTATTTACATGATAAATATAAGATAATCTATATAATATATATACTTGTATAGGTACTAGAGGGGTTACTGTATCTACATGATAAATATAAGATAATCTATATAATATATATACTTGTATAGGTACTAGAGGGGTTACTGTATTTACATGATAAATATAAGATAATCTATATAATAAATATACTTGTATAGGTACTAGAGGGGTTACTGTATCTACATGATAAATGCAAGATAATCCACACAGATATAAAACCTGAGAATATACTAGTCTGCGTGGACCAGGGTTATATCAGGTAACATAAAAAAATAAAGTTTTAAAAATAATTCATTCTTGAATTTTAAAGGATATATATTAATATATCTGATGATCTCCAACAAAAATAGTAATCTGATCAACGCATTTCTCATTTAAAATTTTTAAATTAATAAAAAAACTTTCGGATGTTTTAATATTCCTTGTACGTACTACATTTAAAATCATTGGCGAAAAGAAAGGAAGAAATTTAGTTTTTAAAAATAAATGAAACGATAGAAGTAAAAAGAATAAAGAAGGTGAAAAATTGAAAGTAAAAAAAAACATTAAAAAATGACAAGAAGATAGTGTCACTGAAGAATGAATGAAAAATAAAGGAATAAATGAAAAATTATATCAAAGTTTTAATAAATAAAAAGAAAGAAGTAGAAAAAATAATATATAGGAATAAAAGGATGATTAAAAGTGCAAAAAAGTCTAAAAAAGGCAGAAGAATTAAGAAAAAGAAGTCTGGACGAGTTTGATTAATTAAAAAAAGAAAGTATAAAAAGGTAAATGAAAGTATATAAAGAAAGTATAAAAATTTAAAAGAAAGTATGAAAGATAAATGAAAGTTCATAAAGAAAGTATAAAAATGTAAATGAAAGCATAAAAAGAAAGTTTTAAAAATTAATGAAATTATATAAAGAAAGTATAAAAATGTAAAAGAAAGTATGAAAGATAAATGAAAATATATAAGGAAAGTATAAAAATGTGAATGAAAGTATATAAAGAAAGTATAAAAAGGTGAATGAATGGAAAGTAATTAAAGGAACAAATAACCATGTCCAGAGACAGTAAAGGGAGACCGACCACCTCATAAAAGGTTGTATCACAAACTCAAATCTTTTACTTCACCTTTAGGAGAAAAAAAATCAATCAAATGTGAGTGATGTTCTGAGAAATAAACAGTGAATTTCATACACGATGCAACTTTACTTTGACACGCAGAATATCCCTTATTAATGTCAAAAAGACAATGAAATATAAACTTTACTACATTTTATAAAATTTGCAAGCACCCCCAGACTACTATATGTTAATTTAATGCTAATAACTTTCGTAAGAGTTTTTAAAATGTCTGAAATTTGTTAAGTGTGTTTTCTCTTTCATTTTTTTGCGACAGAAAAAAATTCTTAACTCTGTTCTAAATTGCAAAATTGAAGCTTGAGTTTAAAAAGTATTTTTTACTTTATTGGTTATATATAGAACCATATTTTCTTAGACACGAAATATTAACTATTTACAACTACTGCACACTGTACAGGGAAGTTCAGGGATTTTTACTCTATCAAGGGTTTTCAAGATCAATTTGATCTTGTGGAGTAAAATGGGAAAACATAGGTATTAACTATAACGTGTGAAGGGGTGAATGGTTTCTTTACATCACATTTTTTTAATAGAAAATTGATGATTGCAAAGTTAGTATTTAATAGAATCTTTTTTTACTGCAGATCTTTACGAATCGGTCCTTTTATCACGTTGAGATAATTTCTTAAAATACTGTAATTACAAATATTTAGACGGATTGCAGCCGAGGCGACATATCACTTTAAATCCGGACTCAAGCTTCCCAACTCAGCAGGTGAAAATTAATAGTTCCCACAACAGCAATCAAAAGTTTTCACCAATGAGAGATCGATTAATCTTCTTGCGGGGAAAGCTTAAGTTTAACTCATTTTGTTCAAAGCATATGGCCAATCAACTCTGTATGCTTAAAGATTGTGAATCACATGTATAGACATTAAAGCTATTTATTTCAAATTGAAAAAATGTCTTTGATAAATATTAAAACAGAACCCAGACAAATCTCTACTTGCCTTTAAACATAATTATAAAGAGAAGTAGAGAGTTGTAAAATAATATTTTCAAATAAAAATAAATTTAGTGAGTTCAGCACCGGAGTTGATGTCACGCAGTTCCAGAACTAGAAGTCCGAGACATAGAAACTCTAGGTAAGAAACTACATTTATAGATAGAAACTCTAGGTTAGAAACTACATTTATAGATAGAAAATCTAGGTTAGGAACTACATTTATAGATAGAAACTCTAGTTTAGAAACTACATTTATAGATAGAACCTCTAGGTTAGAAACTACATTTATAGATAGAAGTTCTAGGTAAGAAACTACATTTATAGATAGAAACTCTAGGTTATAAACTACATTTGTAGATAGAAACTCTAGGTTAGAAACTACATTTGTAGATAGAAACTCTAGGTTAGAAACTAAATTTATAGATAGAAACTCTAGGTTAGAAACTACAGTTATATATAAAACTCTAGGTTAGAAACTACATTTATAGATAGAAACTCTAGGTTAAAAACTACAGTTATATATAAAACTCTAGGTTAAAAACTACATTTATAGATCGAAACTATAGGTTAGAAACTACATTTATAGATATAAACTCTAGGTTAGAAACTACATTTATAGATAGAAATCTAGGTAAGAAACTATATTTATAGAGCGAAACTCTAGGTTAGAAACTACATTTATAAATAGAAACTCTAGGTTAGAAACTACATTTATAGATAGAAACTATAGGTTTGAAACTACATTTATAAATAGACACTCTAGGTTAGAAACTACATTTATAGATAGAAACTCTAGGTTAGAAACTACATTTATAGATAGAAACTATAGGTTAGAAACTACATTTATAGATAGACACTCTAGGTTAGAAACTACATTTATAGAAAGAAACTCTAGGCAAAAGGCTGCATTTAGGGATATAAACTCTTTTGTGGATTTTTTCAGTTCATTTACATTATATGTTGAATCTAGGAGGAATATGTATAGTATTGTTCAGTATATTACAATATATGTTGAATCTAGGAGGAATCTAGAAAGCTACTCTAGTGTTCAGTATATTACAATATATGTTGAATCTAGGAGGAATCTAGACAGCTACTCTAGTGCTCCGGATGAGCTTGTGAGTCCTAGAAGTAGAATAATGTCTGATGATGATAACTTTAACGAGGTAATTATGAACATTTAAAAACAATGAAAGGAACTGTTCAGTAATTAAAATAAAATTTAACATTGTTAAATTATTCTGTTTAAGAGTATTTTCCCCTAAAAGATTTTCCCTGAAATGAATAAAAAAACGTTGAATGAGAAGATCAGCTTGTATGTGTTACTAAATCCAAAAATTGGGAGCGTTGAGTTTAATCATTGAATAGTCTCTTGCCTTAATAAACAGCCTGAACTTATATCTGTAAATCTAGAAATCAATCAATCATCTTCATCTTATGCAGCTAGATTAATTTAATGACTCCTCGTTATCCCTATAGTGGTCATATTCTGTAGAGATAACTTGAATTAAGGAATAAAGCATTTATCCTCAAATTTCAAAAGTGCAACCACATTGAAATTGGAAATCGAGTTCAAGTTTTTAAAGTTAACAATACTCCACTTCAAAATGATGCTTAAAGGCTGTATTTCCTGAATAAAGGAGACTGCGTATTGCGTAACGATATGGTTAATTGTGGCACATGAGGTAGTTGCCTTTCCTCCCTCGCGTCCGTACAGCGCACGCGAGAGAAAGGAGGAAAAGAAGGGAGCCAAGGATTAAAATTTTGGATTATTTTGCTGATGATAATTTGTCTTTGTCATGTATTTTCCTTATCTAATCTCCAAAAGAAAACCATGACTGTATTTGAACAGTTTGCAAGTCTAAAATTTAACCAACTAGACGAAAATACTGCATACAATACACAATACACCATACACCACCATAGTTAATACAGATAAAACCGAACCTATAGTGGTTGTAGACAAGTTCTAGAACCTTCCTTGCTGTGTGAATAATGGTTTATTTTAATCAAGGAAAAGAGTCCAGAGAATAAAAAGTCACAGCTTAAATGCCACTCGTGACTTAAATAAAGCCGTGACTGTAAACTAGCTAGAGACCAAATATTTACCTTACTCGATTAAATCAACGAGTTAAATATTTAAACCAGTAAAATCCCCGTAGTTTATTTGTTATCAACCAACAATGATTCTCTGGAAGTGAAATAGATATTCATAGTGACGCTTGCGAATATATATAAAACCCATTATAGTCTAAGATTACATTTAGAACTTTCATTCATTTTTTTACATTCTTTAGTTTTGGGCTGATTAGAGTTTTTTGAAGTGACTTACAAATGCCCCCAATGCCGGGCCCCTATGAAATAGGGTTTGGGAATTTTTTGTCTATGATAGCTCTACGGTCGACTACCACCATTAATACCAAAAATATTTTTTAAACTAACGTCATAGCAAAATTAAAGTTAGTTCTTAAAATAAAAATAAAAGTTAAATATACTTGAATCCAATCCAAGTTGTTCAAGTTGTTTTTTTATCAGATGTGGTAAACACGCGGACACACCTTTTTAAAAAATATATATTATATGTGTACTTTCTGATGAGCATAGTTTTTAAATATTTAAAAAATATTTAAATATTTTTTAACATTCTGAGATGTGGAACATATTCGATGCTAGACAAGTTTGCTTTTATTACATTATACAAAAATAAATTATTCTAACCAAAGATATTAGAAAAGAGTTTTTTCGTTTTTTTTGGTAAATATCTTTGATCATAATGTTCGCATAATGTAATAAAAGTAAATTTATCGAGAATACCATTGAACTAATGATATACATTTTTGTGGAAAATTTTTTACGTCAAAAAAAAACCTAAATGTCTCAACACGTTGTCCATCACTAAAATAATGTAGATACTATAACGTTTACAACACTGCATCAAAGTAAAAGTTTTGCTTTCTCTT